TCAAATGTAGGCGTCCTAACACTGTTGACATTTTCCCCACTGATGTCAACACAGAGGCCGTAAACAGATGAATAAAACTAATAAATAATAATAAAACTAAAGAACATTAGAAAAACACCACAGAACATCAAGTTAAATTTAGGAATTCTTAGAACGCATAAAGAAACTAAGGAACAGTACGACGTCACTGTACAAAACCGGTATAATGCAATGGAAATTATACAGACTATTGATGAACAGTGGGATATGTTGTGTGAGTCAATTCAGCAGACAATCCCACCAACCCAGAGAGTTGCAAAAAAAGAAATGGATGTCAACCGATATTCTGCAGTTGATGGATGAAAGAAGGAAGAAAAAGAATGATAAAGAAGAATACTCTACAATACAGAAAGAAATAGTGAACAAATGCAAAGTGGCTAAAGAAGCCTGACTGAATCAAATGTGTACAGAGATTGGGGAAAATCACAGGAAAGACTCGCATTCTATGTACCAACAGATAAATATGTAAACAGGAAAGATGACACGTAACAGCACTGGCTGTTTCAAATCAAAAGATGGTGACTTATTAATGGGACATAGTAATATAATTAACAGATGGACAGAGTATATAGGGGAATTGTATGATGATAATAGACCAGATGAAGAAGTGCAGACCAACAATGATGGTCCACCAATAATGACCGCAGAAGTTGAGGATGCAATACATCATATGAAGAAAGGAAAAGCACCCGGGCCAGACGTCTCACTGAAAGAAATCGAAGCACTGGGAGATTTTGAAACTGAAATAATAACTAAACTTCTAAATGATATTTATAATAGTGGGTATATTCCAAATGACCTTTTAAAATCCACATTTTTAACTCTGCCAAAGTAACCAGGCACTATAAAATGTGAAGACCATCGCACAATAAGTCTTATGAGTCACATGACTAAGATTTTACTGAGAATAATTATGAGAAGAATAAGAAACAAAATTAAACCAGAAATCAGCGATGAACAATGTGGATTTGTAGAAGGAAAAGGTTCAAACAATGCCATATACATCCTAAGGACATTGTCAGAAAGAGCTATAGAAATAAAGACTGATTTTTAATGCTTCATAGACTACACAAAAGCATTTGACTGTGTGAAACATGAAGGATTAATCAAACTGTTGGAAAAATTAAACATTGATGGAAAAGATCTACGAATAATAAAGAATATTTATTGGCAGTAAACAGCAGCTATAAGAATTAACAACTGTTTAGGTACATTTCAAAGCATAAAGAGGGGCGTACGACAAGGGTGTGTACTGTCACCTGATTTGTTTTCAATATACAGTGAATATATAATTAGATCTTTAATTGATATGCCCGGATTGTGGTTGGTGGGCTCAATATAAACAATTTACGTTTTGCTGATGACACAGTCTTGATAGCAACAATTCAGAAAGAACTACAGGAAATGATAGACATTGTGGTGTTAGAAAGTGGAAGAATGGGCCTCAGTTTGAATAATGGGAAGATAAAAGTGATAGTAGTATCAAAGAAACGAATTATTCCTAAATGTGTAATAAAAGTTGATGGTGTTATTTTAGGACAAGTACCGAAATTTAAGTATCTGGGCACATGGATAACATCAGATGGAAGATGCATAACTGAAATAAGAAACAGATTAGGACAGGCAAAAACTGCATTTTATAAAATGAAGAATATCTTGTGCAATAAATCCTTGTCATTGAGAGTTAGAAAAAGAATTCTTGCTTGCAACATACATCCAGTTTTAACATATGGCTGTAAATCCTGGACAATCGGTAGGCAGGCCAAACAATTTTTTTGAGGCATACTAACTTGGAGTCAAATCTCAATAACTCACTGACTTACTCACAAACTTATTGAGATGTGGTTTTACAGAAGAATGGTTAGAATACCTTGGAAAGCCAAAAAAAAAAAAAAAAAAAAAAAAAAAAAAAAACCCGAAGACAACTAATCACAGACATCAGAAATAGACAGTCGTCATTTTTCGGCCATGTTATGAGAAGAGGGAAAATAGAACATGTTGTGACCACTGGAAAAATCTGTGGAAGGAAGGATAGAGGAAGACAACAAAGAAGATTCTTGGCAGTCTTGTTGCATGGAATGGAGGTGTGTCGGCACACGAATTGATACATGCTGCAGGAAATTGCAGATTGTGGAGAGGAATGATCGCCCAAGCCAGTCGGCAAGGCACCTGACGATGATCACCTAGGACATTCATATTTATCGATGTTTGATTCCTGCATCATTATGTCATCAAAGTCATAAATCAGCCCTCCAGCACAGGTCCTCTCTGGTAATCTGGTATTCTGGTAATCCTAGTTTCAGCTTCATAGCAAACGGGTCACCCCACATATGCTCCGCTCCTGTGCCAACGGAAAACAATCGCAGCTCACAGTGTCACGCCATGCACTCAACTCAGAAGCTGGGCGACGAAACTACATCCTTCCAGTCTACAAATGGAGCAAAAATGCAACGGCCACCGTCTGGCAAAAAAAAAAAAAAAAGAATATTTGCCACAGCTTTAAAAAAAAAAAAAGGTGGCCGTACCTAGCGTCCATTTTGACCGGAAGAATTATATGAGGGTTAATAAACGGTCACCCCAGCAGTACCCTCCTTATTAGCTGGGGAAGGGACTTAGGACATTACATCCACCAGCAGGCGTCGCCCCTACAACGACCTGCCTGCCATCGTTAACGACTGTTCACCCAACAGCCATGCAGTTCTTTGGCACGAAGGAGACACCTTGAAACTTGGGTTTCGTACTGCCGACTCCCTACTAAGATGTTATTTTATGTTCTGTTATCACAATTAATGTCACTGCACATTGGGACATTGCGTGCTCAGTTTCTCCGAAGCAGCAGCCACTCTAAAGTACTTCTACTAATTGTCCCATGAGAAGCTGGTTATATTGTCTCCTTTCTCGGCCTCGAAGACGGCAAAGACGTGCATCACCATGCTTAACTTCCCATGTCACGCAATCGTGTTAGTGTCAGGGATTCCTCATTCTCCACTAGCCCAGTTCGTACAGCGTTGACTATGTCTGCTCAGTCCATACTTTTTTCCAGCAATCATTAGTGCAGTGCTTGCCAGTTGGTCTGCTCGCCTCATTTCCCTTCACGCCCGCATGACCTGGTGTGTAGATCCAGGTTAGAGGTTAAGTGCGATTTCCTAATGCTTTTCTATCCATTCAGAGCGCATACTGCCTGTTGCTATCTTCTGAAGCATATTCATTGAGTCTGAGACAATTACTACCTGTGTGGCGGTTTGCTCGGATCCATGCTAAAGCTTTAGAAGCAGCGGCTATTTCCATTGTCATGCTTGAACGTGGTTGTACTGGTAAGCGCCGCTGAGTCCTCATGTATTGTTTTCCCCATTCTTTGCGATGTGTATGACCCATGCTGACCTTGATCCGCGCTTCACGGATCCATCTGTGTAGATGATGGTATCTTCTGGGTCTGAATGCTGATCGTTCCCTTACTTCGGTGTCTAGAATTGATCCCTTCAGTACCAGTGTGATGAGAACCCTAGAGATGCCATGCATGTCTAACAGCTTTGCACACGAGACAGATGAAATCCCAGACTATCCGTTTTTCGCCTCTCTCCGGCTGTCCGATTTCTATGCCGTCTTCTCTCTATGAACGCTAAGAAGAAGAAGAGGAAGAATCACCTTACTTTAACGTCTACAGAGCTCGATGAGTAGCATGAGCTTCGGGTTACAGCGTCCGTGTCTAGTGAACCATGTTACAGATAGACAAACAGAGAAACACTCTGGCCTCGGGTTACAGCGTCCGTGTCTAGTGAACCATGTTACAGACAGACACATAGACAAACAGAGAAACACTCTGGCCTCGGGTTACAGCGTCCGTGTCTAGTGAACCATGTTACAGACAGACACATAGACAAACAGAGAAACACTCTGGCCTCGGGTTACAGCGTACGTGTCTAGTGAACCATGTTACAGACAGACACATAGACAAACAGAGAAACACTCTTGCCTCGGGTTACAGCGTCCATGTCTAGTGAACCATGTTACAGACAGACACATAGACAAACAGAGAAACACTCTTGCCTCGGGTTACAGCGTCCATGTCTAGTGAACCATGTTACAGACAGACACATAGACAAACAGAGAAACACTCTGGCCTCGGGTTACAGCGTCCATGTCTAGTAAACCATGTTACAGACAGACACATAGACAAACAGAGAAACACTCTGGCCTCGGGTTACGGCGTCCATGTCTAGTGAACCATGTTACAGACAGACACATAGACAAACAGAGAAAAACTCTGGCCTCGGGTTACGGCGTCCATGTCTAGTGAACCATGTTACAGACAGACACAGAGACAGAGAAACACTCCTGCCTCGGGTTACAGCGTCCATGTCTAGTGAACCATATTACAGACAGACACAGAGACAGAGAAACACTCTTGCCTCGGGTTACAGCGTCCATGTCTAGTGAACCACATAGACAAACAGAGAAACACTCTGCCTCGTCCGGGTTACATCGTCCGTGTCTAGTGAACCATGTTACAGACAGACACATAGACAGAGAAACACTCTTGCCTCGGGTTACAGCGTCCATGTCTAGTGAACCATATTACAGACACATAGACAAAGAAACACTCTTGCCTCGGGTTACAGCGTCCATGTCTAGTGAACCATATTACAGACAGACACATAGACAGAGAAACACTCTCGCCTCGTGTTACAGCGTCCATGTCTAGTGAACCATGTTACAGACAGACACATAGACAAACAGAGAAACACTCTGGCCTCGGGTTACGGCGTCCATGTCTAGTGAACCATGTTACAGACAGAAATAGAGGAAGAGACAGAAAAACAGACACTCTTGCCCTGTGTTACGGATAGGATGAAACTCTTGTGTTGGGGAAATCAGTTCCGATCCCACCAGCAATGTGATCTCCGCGACTGGAGAGCTGACCTCCCTCACCTCAATGCCCAAACTTGCTGATCACTGTCAACATGGCGGACCACAGCGGCCAGCAGGAAAAGACACCGGGATTCATGACCATCACCGTGAAAACTCCCAAGGACAAACATACTGTCGAGGTCCAGGAAGGGGCATCTGTCCGTCAGGTACCGGCACAGCCTACCGTACATTGTGTTGTTTGTTAGGTTGTGCACATTAAAGTTGACATGCTCTGCGTGTTCAAGTCCAAGTGTTGATTGATCATTGATCATATGATGATGACAAGTGACCACTGAGTACTGACAGTACAAGTACTGCTACAGCAGTAATGATGATAATGTCCGTGGAAAAAAAAAGGTTTAACTGTGGTTCCATTTGTGCCACTTGAACTTGCAGATATGTAGTAATGTAGTTATATATTGATAATTATCATCATCATCAAAATGCATTGTGGATGGATTTGGGCAGTCTGAGACCTCTACTCAACTGACCAGCAGTGTACTAATAAGTACATCAGGAGTCGATAACGAGATTTCCCGGATGATGATGACATTATATCATGACGTGTATTTAATTTTACATTCATAGGTTAGTCATTACTAATTACAAAGTTTTATTCAGTATAGATTTTCACTGAGGAATTCAGGCTGAAATAAGCTGTAATAGTTCTATTACTAATAATTAGTTTAAAAAAAAAAACAATATCTACAATATCAATATAGTTATAGAGTATTAGTGTAGTCAGTATGTGTATAAAAAAGAATATAAAATGAATGCCTGACTGACTGAAATCAAGACTTTCGACGATGGCATACTGATACTCAATAACTTCACATACAGCCGAACACCTGACGATAAAAATATTTATATACTTTTGCTACCTTTCTATACTTCAATTAATGGGCTATCATTACCTGCATTGTCTTTAAAAATAAAATTAAATCCATCTTCTATGTTTCTACACAGATAGAGTACTCATAGGCAAGTGACTTGACCATCATGTTTTTATATTCAGTTGAAGGAAGCGGTTCAGCAGAAGTTCAATGCCCCCTATGAGCAACTGTGTATTATCTTCGCTGGGAGAATTGTCAAAGATGATGATACACTTCAGCAACATGGAATCAAAGATGGCCTGACAGTTCACCTGGTCATCAAGTCGGCAAACAGAGTCAGTTTATCTGTGTGTGGACATGGATGGCTACAGTGATTGGGGGGGGGGGGGGGGTGGCAGCAGTGATGTGTGGGTGGCAACAGTGATGTGTGGGTGGCATGGCAACAGTGATGTGTGGACATAGGGGGCAAACAGTGATGGGAGGGGGGGTGGCAAACAGTGATGTGTGGGTGGCAGCAGTGATGTGTGGGTGGCAACAGTGATGTGTGGACATGGGGGGGCAACAGTGATGTGTGGACATGGGGGGCAACAGTGATGTGTGGGTGGACAGTGATGTGTGGGTGGCAACAGTGATGGGTGGCAGCAGTGATGTGTGGGTGGCAACAGTGATGTGTGGGTGGCAACAGTGATGTGTGGACATGGGTGGCAACAGTGATGTGTGGGTGGCAACAGTGATGTGTGGACATGGGTGGCAACAGTGATGTGTGGACATGGGTGGCAACAGTGATGTGTGGACATGGGTGGCAACAGTGATGTGTGGACATGGGTGGCAACAGTGATGTGTGGACATGGGTGGCAGCAGTGATATATGGGTGTGTCTAAGGCAGCAGTGATGTGTGGATGTGTCTGAGGCAGCAGTGATGTGTGGGTGCGTCTGAGGCTGCAGTGATGTGTGGGTGCGTCTGTGGCTGCAGTGATGTGTGGGTGTATCTGAGTCTGCATTGATGTGTGGGTGTGTCTTAGGCAGCAGTGATGTGTGGGTGTGTCTGAGGCAGCAGTGATGTGTGGGTGTATCTGAGTCTGCATTGATGTGTGGGTGTGTCTGAGGCAGCAGTGAAGTGTGGGTGTGTCTGAGGCAGCAGTGAAGTGTGGGTGTGTCTGAGGCAGCAGTGATGTGTGGGTGTGTCTGAGGCAGCAGTGATGTGTGGGTGTGTCTGAGGCAGCAGTTACGTGTGGGTGTGTCTGAGGCTGCAGTGATGTGTGGGTGTGTCTGAGGCAGCAGTGATGTGTGGGTGTATCTGAGTCTGCATTGATGTGTGGGTGTATCTGAGTCTGCATTGATGTGTGGGTGTGTCTGAGGCAGCAGTGAAGTGTGGGTGTGTCTGAGGCAGCAGTGATGTGTGGGTGTGTCTGAGGCTGCAGTGATGTGTGGGTGTGTCTGAGGCAGCAGTGATGTGTGGGTGTGTCTGAGGCAGCAGTTACGTGTGGGTATTTCTTACGCAGCTGGGAAATGTGTCAATGTTTGACTGAGGTTTGTACACCTGTGTGTACATGCTGTCATGTTTGATCTGTATGCTTCTATTAAATATGATATGTTTTCAAACTCTTCTAAACTGTTGCAGTTTTAACATGATCAATACACACTATTAAAAGTCAATATACATTGTAGAGAATAAATTCAAATAAATGTGAGCAATAGTTCATCATTTCCCCATGTGAGTTCTGGGGTTTTATTGTGGGGGAAACAAGAATAGACCCACTGCCTTTACAACAAGCATGTCATTAGAGTCAACTAATTAGGGACTTAATTATAAGTCTATATCCCCCAGAGAAGCAAGAAACAACCAACTGCACACAGATAAAACGGTAACCAGTTTCATGTCCTGTATATCAGTAATACATTTTGAAGTAGTCATGCAGAAAGTTGTGACTGGTAATCTACACCTGGCCAGATAAAGTAACAACGATAATCTACACCTGGCCAGATAAAGTAACAACATTGATAATCTACACCTAGCCAGATAAAGTAACAACATTGATAATCTACACCTAGCCAGATAAAGTAACAACATTGATAATCTACACCTAGCCAGATAAAGTAACAACATTGATAATCTACACCTAGCCAGATAAAGTAACAACTATTGATAATCTACACCTAGGCAGATAAAGTAACAACATTGATAATCTACACCTAGCCAGATAAGGTAACAACATTGATAATCTACACCTAGCCAGATAAAGTAACAACATTGATAATCTACACCTAGCCAGATAAAGTAACTTCTTCTTCTTTTGTCAAAATCTGCTTGTGCCGCTAGGCGTCGCAGTCTATCAGATGATCGGCAACCGAGCCAGGGCGCGCTCAGTCGCTTCATATGCCGTGACGTTATGAAGTCTCAAGTTGTCCGTGACTCCTTCAATCCATCTTCTTCTTGGTCTTCCCCTGCCTCTTGTTGTTTCGATTTTCATGTTGTATGCTCTTGATGCTGGCATCGTTGGTTCCATTCTCATTAGGTGACCAAACCATTTCATTCTTTGCTTCTCAATAAAATTTAACGATGGGTATGGTTCCAATAGTTTCTTGTAATCACATCGTTTCTCACTCGATCTCTTCTGGTTTTATTCGCAGCCATTCTCAAACATCTCATTTCACAGGTGGTTAGTCTTCTCTCATGTTCTTTTGTTAATGTCAAAGTCTGACATTGATAACCTAATGTCGGTATAAAGATTGTATTTATAATTTTGTCTTTTTTATCTCAGCTGGGACAGCAGGGTGTTTTAAAATTGGGGCAAGCTGGTATGCGACATTGTTGGCTTGTTGGATTCTTGCTTCAATCTCTCTGTCTATTTTACCATTGGATGTAAAGATACTTCCCAGGTATTTAAATTTCTTGCACTTGTTTTTAGGCTGTGATCTAGAATCTTTATGTCGATGGTCTGCTGCTCTCTACTTATGCTCATGACTTCTGTCTTTTCAGTATTGATCTTCATATGATGCTTGAGGCAACTGTCGTGTAGTAGGTTCATGTGGTCTTGCAGCTGTTTACTATCACTGTGAAATATGCATTGATCGTCGGCAAAGAGCAGCTCATTGAAGTCCTCCTGTTTATCGACATCTGTTGGTGTTATGTCTATTTTATTAATATTGTCCATAAATATTATGAAAAGTAAAGGTGATAATACACAACCTTGTCTTACTCCTAAATAAAGTAACAACATTGATAATCTACACCTAGCCAGATAAAGTAACAACATTGATAATCTACACCTGGCCAGATAAAGTAACAACATTGATAATCTACACCTAGCCAGACAAAGTAACAACATTGATGATCTACACCTAGCCAGACAAAGTAACAGCATTGATGATCCCATTGAAAATTATCTGCTACAATTATAACCTTTTTTCACTCACATTCTAGGTGTGCTAGAGAAGATCTATTCAATTTCAAACAAACTAGAAAACATCCTCACTTATCTGTTGTAGACTTCGAGTATTTGTGTGTGATAATTCTTCCTCTCTAAAACCTGAACCGTCTGATCACAGAACATTAGTATTTGTTTCCCAGACTCTGTTGGCATCAGAGATGCATCAGGACAATCTGTGGAGTTTGCTCTGATCATGTACAACTGGTCAACCTTTTTTACAGGCAGCTTCAGCGGCTGCTGCTCCAGCTACATCTACACCAGACACAGCCCCAAGTGTGCCACAAGAGGCTCCGAGTGTGCCACAGGGACCACTAGGGATTGGTGCCCTGGGTGGGCTTAGTGGCTTTGGCTTAGGATCTGGCAGTTTCATGGAGATGCAGCAGAGGATGCAGAGAGAGGTAGTTCCATGATGTTTTTGTGTTTCCCACATCACTTTGCTGGGGTCTGTCATGTGACTTAATCACATGGGCCTGTATGTGTCTGCTGGGGTCTGTGATGTGACTTAATCACATGGTCCTGTATGTGTCTGCTAGGGGCTGTCATGTGAATCACATGGTCCTGTATGTCTGCTGGGGTCTGTCATGTGACTTAATCACATGGACCTGTGTGTCTCCTGGGGTCTGTGATGTGACTTAATCACATGGACCTGTGTGTCTCCTGGGGTCTGTGATGTGACTTAATCACATGGTCCTGTATGTGTCTGCTGGGGTCTATCATGTGACCTAATCACATGGTCCTGTATGAATCTGCTGGGGTCTGTCATGTGACTTAATCACATGGACCTGTATGTGTCTGCTGGGGTCTGTGATGTGACTTAATCACATGGTCCTGTATGTGTCTGCTAGGGGCTCTCATGTGAATCACATGGTCCTGTATGTGTCTGCTGGGGTCTGTCATGTGACCTAATCACATGGTCCTGTATGAATCTGCTGGGGTCTGTGATGTGACTTAATCACATGGACCTGTATGTGTCTGCTAGGGGCTGTCATGTGAATCACATGGTCCTGTATGTGTCTGCTGGGGTCTGTCATGTGACCTAATCACATGGTCCTGTATGTGTCTGCTGAGGTCTGTGATGTGACTTAATCACATGGTCCTGTATGTTTCTATAAACAAAACATAACATACACATGCTTTAAGGACTATCTCTTAGTGGTATCCATCCACATTGTCTGCCTTTGTTCGTTCCATCTTTTATTTATTTTCTATCCATTCTTGAATCTGCCATCTACTCTAACTTACTGTCTGCTGTCTTTCCTGCATTCATGTCCGTCTGTTGTCTTTCCTGCATTTATAGCTATCTGTGTATCGGTTCTCTGTTCATGTCCATCTGTTGTCTTTCCTGTGTTCATGACTATCTGTTGTCTTTTCTGTGTTCATGACTATCTGTTGTCTTTCCTGCGTTCATGTCCATCTGTTGTCTTTCCTGCGTTCATGTCCATCTGTTATCTTTCCTGCGTTCATGTCCATCTGTTGTCTTTCCTGTGTTCATGTCCATCTGTTGTCTTTCCTGCGTTCATGTCCATCTGTTGTCTTTCCTGCGTTCATGTCCATCTGTTGTCTTTCCTGCGTTCATGTCCATCTGTTATCTTTCCTGCGTTCATGTCCATCTGTTATCTTTCCTGTGTTCATGACTATCTGTTGTCTTTCCTGTGTTCATGACTATCTGTTGTCTTTCCTGTGTTCATGACTATCTGTTGTTTTTCCTGCGTTCATGTCCATCTGTTATCTTTCCTGCGTTCATGTCCATCTGTTGTCTTTCCTGTGTTCATGTCCATCTGTTGTCTTTCCTGCGTTCATGTCCATCTGTTGTCTTTCCTGCATTCATGTCCATCTGTTGTCTTTCCTGCATTCATGTCCATCTGTTGTCTTTCCTGCGTTCATGTCCATCTGTTGTCTTTCCTGCGTTCATGTCCATCTGTTGTCTTTCCTGTGTTCATGTCCATCTGTTGTCTTTCCTGCGTTCATGTTCATCTGTTGTCTTTTCTGTGTTCATGTCCATCTGTTGTCTTTCCTGCGTTCATGTCCATCTGTTGTCTTTCCTGCATTCATGTCCATCTGTTGTCTTTCCTGCATTCATGTCCATCTGTTGTCTTTCCTGTGTTCATGTCCATCTGTTGTCTTTCCTGCATTCATGTCCATCTGTTGTCTTTCCTGCATTCATGTCCATCTGTTGTCTTTCCTGCATTCATGTCCATCTGTTGTCTTTCCTGTGTTCATGTCCATCTGTTGTCTTTCCTGCGTTCATGTTCATCTGTTGTCTTTCCTGTGTTCATGTCCATCTGTTGTCTTTCCTGCGTTCATGTCCATCTGTTGTCTTTCCTGTGTTCATGTCCATCTGTTGTCTTTCCTGCATTCATGTCCATCTGTTGTCTTTCCTGTGTTCATGTCCATCTGTTGTCTTTCCTGTGTTCATGTCCATCTGTTGTCTTTCCTGTGCTCATGACTATCTGTTGCTTTCATGGCTTTCTGTGTATCGGTTCTCTTTCCTGGCTGTATGTTTATCTTTCTGTGAATTTTTGCATATCCATGAAATAGATTCATTTAGAGAAAATAGAATATAACAGTTAGAGCTGTGCAGTTAAAATAAAAAGGCAGTAAATCTGTAGTTGTCAATTTATGACATTTCAGGTTAACCAACGGAAACCTTGTAGTTCTCACATTTGAATTTTTAAATGAACACTTGAAAAATGCAGGCATGCCTGAGAAACAGGTCAGTATTTGAAAGGATTTCTTCCACAGATGGTCAGTAACCCAGACATGATGAGGCAGCTCATGGACAACCCATTTGTGCAGTCGCTGATGTCCAACCCAGAAATCATGAGGTCTTTGATTGTCAACAACCCACAGATGAGAGACTTGATGGAGGTATGAGGATGGCTCCTAAACGTGTTCGTCTAAGCTTCAGTCATCTCTCATTTGGCAGTTCATTTTTGTTTAACACTTTGCTGACCAAATTCGACAAACGTCAAATTTATGGCCCGTGGCCGGATTCAAGAGTCGTTGAACTAGTGACACGTGGAATGCAAACAGACATTCTTACTGATAGTATTTTTATAAATAACCAAACAGATTCAAGATGGCCACCATGATTGTGTGACTTTGCATAGCATATTTTTTGTTTCTATGTGTAGCAAACATTTGATTGGTGCTCTGGATGTTACAGAACCTAAGGCTCGGGTTGAATTGTTTAATGGATTTAATTGGAGAACAAGTCAATTGAATTAAATATGCAAAAACCGTTGGTCAGAATGCTGGTCAGCACAGTGTTTATTTGAAGGCCACAGGGTGGCATCCCTTGAAGTTTTACACTACAGAGAGGAAGACAAGAATGGCCAAACCCACTGATACCACTAGTATCAGCAGCACCATGTATCCCATAAATTTAAGACACTACTAACCTGAAGACTGTGTGTGTGTGTGGCCTCTGCTCGTGTATGACTGCAGATGTTGGACAGTGGGATCTTGAATTGATAGGAGAGTGGGACACACTAGAGGTGAGGTGAGGCTTGTCAGAGGGATGTTGAAGACATTAGGAGAGTGGAACACACTAGAGGTGAGGTGAGGCTTGTCAGAGGGATGTTGAAGACATTAGGAGAGTGGAACACACTAGAGATGAGGCTTGTCAGAGAGATGTTGAAGACATTAGGAGAGTGGAACACACTTGAGGTGAGGCTTGTCAGAGAGAGAAGACATTACGGAGAGTGGACACACTTGAGGTGAGGTGGCTTGTCAGAGAGATGTTGAAGACATTAGGAGAGTGGAACACACTAGAGGTGAGGTGAGGCTTGTCAGAGAGATGTTGAAGACATTAGGAGAGTGGAACACACTAGAGGTGAGGTGAGGCTTGTCAGAGAGATGTTGAAGACATTAGGAGAGTGGTGGAACACACTTGAGGTGAGGCTTGTCAGAGAGATGTTGAAGACATTAGGAGAGTGGAACACACTTGAGGTGAGGCTTGTCAGAGAGATGTTGAAGACATTAGGAGAGTGGAACACACTAGAGGTGAGGTGAGGCTTGTCAGAGAGATGTTGAAGACATTAGGAGAGTGGAACACACTAGAGGTGAGGTGAGGCTTGTCAGAGAGATGTTGAAGACATTAGGAGAGTGGAACACACTAGAGAGAGGTGAGGCTTGTCAGAGAGATGTTGAAGACATTAGGAGAGTGGAACACACTAGAGGTGAGGTGAGGCTTGTCAGAGAGATGTCAGAGAGATGTTGAAGACATTAGGAGAGTGGAACACACTAGAGGTGAGGTGAGGCTTGTCAGAGAGATGTTGAAGACATTAGGAGAGTGGAACACACTAGAGGTGAGGTGAGGCTTGTCAGAGAGATGTTGAAGACATTAGGAGAGTGGAACACACTAGAGAGGTGAGGCTTGTCAGAGAGATGTTGAAGACATTAGGAGAGTGGGAGAGTGGAACACACTTGAAGTGAGGTGAGGTGGCTTGTCAGAGAGATGTTGAAGACATTAGGAGAGTGGGACACACTAGAGGTGAGACTTGTCAGAGAGATGTTGAAGACATTAGGAGAGTGGAACACACTAGAGGTGAGGTGAGGCTTGTCAGAGAGATGTTGAAGACATTAGGAGAGTGGGACACACTAGAGGTGAGGCTTGTCAGAGAGATGTTGAAGACATTAGGAGAGTGGAACACACTAGAGAAGTGAGGTGAGGCTTGTCAGAGAAGATGTTGAAGACATTAGGAGAGTAGGGAGTGGAACACACTAGAGGTGAGGTGAGGCTTGTCAGAGAGATGTTGAAGACATTAGGAGAGTGGAACACACATTAGGAGAGTGGAACACACTGAGGTGAGGCTTGTCAGAGAGATGTTGAAGACATTAGGAGAGTGGAACACACTTGAGGTGAGGCTTGTCAGAGAGATGTTGAAGACATTAGGAGAGTGGAACACACTAGAGGTGAGGTGAGGCTTGTCAGAGGAGATGTTGAAGACATTAGGAGAGTGGAACACACTAGAGGTGAGGTGAGAGGTTGAGCTTGTCAGAGAGATGTTGAAGACATTAGGAGAGTGGAAACACACTAGAGGTGAGGCTTGTCAGAGAGATGTTGAAGACATTAGGAGAGTGGAGGTGGCTTGTCAGAGAGATGTTGAAGACATTAGGAGAGTGGAAAACACACTAGAGTGTGAGGCTTGTCAGAGAGATGTTTGAAGACATTAGGAGAGTGGGACACACTAGAGGTGAGGTGAGGCTTGTCAGAGAGATGTTGAAGACATTAGGAGAGTGGAACACACTAGGTGAGGTGAGGCTTGTCAGAGAGATGTTGAAGACATTAGGAGAGTGGAACACACTAGAGAGGTGAGGCTTGTCAGAGAGATGTTGAAGACATTAGGAGAGTGGGACACACTAGAGGTGAGGTGAGGCTTGTCAGAGAGATGTTGAAGACATTAGGAGAGTGGAACACACTAGAGGTGAGGTGAGGCTTGTCAGAGGGATGTTGAAGACATTAGGAGAGTGGGACACACTAGAGGTGAGGCTTGTCAGAGAGATGTTGAAGACATTAGGAGAGTGGAACACACTAGAGGTGAGGTGAGGCTTGTCAGAGGGATGTTGAAGACATTAGGAGAGTGGAACACACTTGAGGTGAGGTGAGGTTGAGCATTAGGAGTCAGAGGTGATGTTGAAGACATTAGGAGAGTGGAACACACTAGAGGTGAGGTGAGGCTTGTCAGAGAGATGTTGAAGACATTAGGAGAGTGGGACACACTAGAGGTGAGGTGAGGCTTGTCAGAGAGATGTTGAAGACATTAGGAGAGTGGAACACACTAGAGGTGAGGCTTGTCAGAGAGATGTTGAAGACATTAGGAGAGTGGAACACACTAGAGGTGAGGCTTGTCAGAGGGATGTTGAAGACATTAGGAGAGTGGAACACACTAGAGGGGAGGTGAGGCTTGTCAGAGAGATGTTGAAGACATTAGGAAGCGGAGAACTCAAATGGTGAGGCATGATCATAATGTGCCCTGCCTATAAACATAAGTTGTCATGTTTTGCCATGTGACCCAATCACCAGAGTCTTGAATCAGGTCATTGTTCTTGTCTCATCCTAAGCCATGTACTTATATCTTTGCTCCTATCCCATCTGTTGTGCAACAGAAATTACCAACTGTCGAAGTCGAATGTCTGGAGTCAGTTTATGGTTCTCAAATCTCTGTACGCTAACTGTCTGCTTCACAATGACAAAAACTCACAACTAATGAGAGACGCAGACATGGACAGATCACTCATGAAAAACTGTCAGGAACAAGCTGGTGAAACTGTTAGGGCATATCAACAAACCTAGAAAAGTAAAAGCATGGGAGGGGGGGGGGGGGTTTCAGGCATGAGAGACAATGCAGAGAAAAAAGCCTAAGTTTATGGGAAGGGGGGTATCAGGTAAGAGAGATCAGGCAAAGAAATTAGCCTAAGTTTAGGGGAAGGGGGGTATCAGGTAAGAGAGATCAGGCAAAGAAATTAGCCTAAGTTTAGGGGAAGGGGGGTATCAGGTAAGAGAGATCAGGCAAAGAAATTAGCCTAAGTTTAGGGGAAGGGGGGTATCAGGCAAAGAAATTAGCCTAAGTTTAGGGGAAGGGGGGTATCAGGTAAGAGAGATCAGGCAAAGAAATTAGCCTAAGTTTAGGAGAATGGGGGTATCAAGTAAGAGAGATGAGGCAGAGAAATTTGAGTAAGGTAGGAAAGGATAGAACAGCTTAGCATGAGTTGTTTGAAGGCCTATGCTCCATTGGGGTTAGAAAGGCAGGAGAGACAAGGCAGAGAAATTAGCCTAAGGCAGTGGCCAGGAAACTCATTAGTCACAAGAGCCAAACATCAGCAGCAGGGCAGTTAGGATTTTTTTGAGAGCAAAATGTTTTCTCAAGAACCTGTCTCAGACCATGTTTTTGAGAGCAAAATGTTTTCTCAAGAACCTGTCTCAGACCATGTTTTTGAGAGCAAAATGTTTTCTCAAGAACCTGTTAAAGACCATGTTTTTGAGAGCCAAATGTTTTCGCAAGAACCTGTCGCAGACCATGTTTTTGAGAGCCAAATGTTTTCTCAAGAACCTGTTACAGACCATGTTTTTGAGAGCCAAATGTTTTCTCAAGAACCTGTCGCAGACCATGTTTTTGAGAGCCAAATGTTTTCTCAAGAACCTGTTACAGACCATGTTTTTGAGAGCCAAATGTTTTCTCAAGAACCTGTTACAGACCATGTTTTTCAGAGTCAAAACTGATTTGTGGCCGACTGACCCAGCTGAACACAGATCACTAAAGAGCCGCATGCGCCTTTCTAGCCGCGATTTGCTGACCACTGGCCTAAGGTATGAGAATAGTATCACGCAAGAGAGACAAGGTGGAGAACATGTCTGTAGAAAACTGAAAAGCTGGACTACAAATAATAACACAAAACCTTCATGAAAATATCCGCCATCAACTTCATTCATATATCCGGCATCAGCGTCATCTCATCAAGAAAAGTGCGGATTTGATATAACCAATGTCGTGTTAAGTACATCAATGTTAACACCAGGGAATGAATTGATTGTGTGCAGAGAAACCCGGAGGTGACCCACTTATTGAACAACCCTGACCTGATGAGACAGACCATGGAGCTGGCCCGCAACCCGGCAATGATGCAGGAACTCATGAGGTCACAGGATAGGGCCATGAGCAATCTGGAGGTAGTAGTTTGTCAGTGTTTGCTAGTGTTGGGTTATTGCATGTCTGACACATCTGGAGGTAGTAGTTTGTCAGTGTTGGGTTATTGCTTGTCTGACACATCTGGAGGTAGTAGTTTGTCTGTTTGCTAGTGTTGGGTTATTGCATGTTTGACATATCTTTCTCTCTCTCTCTCTCTCTCTCTCTCTCTCTCTCTCTCTCTCTCTCTCTCTCTCTCTCTCTCTCTCTCTCTCTCTCTCTCTCTCTCTCTCACACACACACAGACACTTGCACATAAGTGACCAGTGACATTTATTTATGCCAGTAATTTATAATAGATGAATTACATTCCACATCTGCATGCATCACACACGATTATTCCAGCAGCTGTTTACATCAGGAGATTAAACTATCAACTAAGTGCACATGTGCACATCACAGACTTGTCATATATACATCACATGAAATTATAGGAGATTAACTATCAACTAAGTGCACATTTGCACATCAGACTGTCATATATACATCACATGTGCACATCACAGACTGTCATATGTACATCACATGTGCACATCACAGACTGTCATGTATACATCACATGTGCATATCACAGACTGTCATATATACATGTTATGGAATATTCCTGGATGCTGACAAACTTGAGGCCTGGTTCTACAGAGTATTCCCGGTGGCTTCAGCGCTCTACAGCGGATGTACAGAGACATACAGGAGCCCATGTTGTCTGCGGCCCAGGAATCAATGGGTTCCAATCCATTTGCGTCCCTTGTCAATGACGGCACAGGTAGTTTGTTTTTGTTGTCAGCTGTGCGCTGTTTTGTACATGAGGTACATTGTGATTGTTTCTTAGTTTATCTTGTACACGGGATACATTGTCATTGTTTTGTAGATTTTTGTACATGAGGTACATTGTGATTGTTTCTTAGTTTATCTTGTACACGGGATACATTGTCATTGTTTTGTAGATTTATATCCTGTACACGGGATACATTGTCATTGTTTTGTAGATTTATATCCTGTACACTTGGACAGTTTCATCACTTAGTTGCAAAACCAACTTGAGCATTTACAGTCACAGTTCTGTATGACCTTGAATATATGGATATCCACTTTGATAGATATCTGTTGGTTTGGTTGGTCAGTTGTTAAAACCAAACCAACATGTCTATCCGTTGGATACTATGTGGATGATGTCATTATAAAGGCCTGGCCATTGCACGGTGAGGACTGCAGCCAAGATGTCTATCCGTTGGATACCATGTGGATGATGTCATTATAAATGCCTGGCCACTCACAGTGAGGAATGTAGTCAAGATGTCTATCCGTTGGATACCATGTGGATGATGTCATTATAAAGGCCTGGCCACTCACGGTGAGGACTGTAGTCAAGATGTCTATCCGTTGGATACCATGTGATGTCATTATAAAGGCCTGGCCACTCACAGTGAGGACTGCAGTCAAGATGTCTATCCGTTGGATACCATGTGGATGATGTCATAATAAAGGCCTGGCCACTGCACTGTGAGGACTGCAGCCAAGATGGAACATAGATACTGATGCTTTATCAGGGTTTGAGTTTGGTGCTCTCATTGACTGACTTTGAGTTTGGTGCTCTCATTGACTGACTTTGAGTTTGATGCTCTCATTGACTGACTTTGAGTTTGGTGCTCTCATTGACTGACTTTGAGTTTGGTGCTCTCATTGACTGACTTTGATGCTCTCATTGACTGACTTTTATGCTCTCATTGACTGACTTTGATGCTCTCATTGACTGACTTTGATGCTCTCATTGACTGACTTTGAGTTTGGTGCTCTCATTGACTGACTTTGAGTTTGGTGCTCTCATTGACTGACTTTGATGCTCTCATTGACTGACTTTGAGTTTGGTGCTCTCATTGACTGACTTTGAGTTTGGTGCTCTCATTGACTGACTTTGATGCTCTCATTGACTGACTTTGAGTTTGATGCTCTCATTGACTGACTTTGAGTTTGATGCTCTCATTGACTGACTTTGAGTTTGATGCTCTCATTGACTGACTTTGAGTTTGGTGCTCTCATTGACTGACTTTGAGTTTGGTGCTCTCATTGACTGACTTTGAGTTTGATGCTCTCATTGACTGACTTTGATGCTCTCATTGACTGACTTTGATGCTCTCATTGACTGACTTTGATGCTCTCATTGACTGACTTTGAGTTTGGTGCTCTCATTGACTGACTTTGATGCTCTCATTGACTGACTTTGAGTTTGATGCGCTCATTGACTGACTTTGGTGCTCTCATTGACTGACTTTGATGCTCTCATTGACTGACTTTGAGTTTGGTGCTCTCATTGACTGACTTTGAGTTTGGTGCTCTCATTGACTGACTTTGAGTTTGGTGCTCTCATTGACTGACTTTGAGTTTAGTGCTCTCATTGACTGACTTTGAGTTTGATGCTCTCAGTGACTGACTTTGAGTTTGGTGCTCTCATTGACTGACTTTGAGTTTGATGCTCTCATTGACTGACTTTGATGCTCTCATTGACTGACTTTGATGCTCTCATTGACTGACTTTGATGCTCTCATTGACTGACTTTGATGCTCTCATTGACTGACTTTGATGCTCTCATTGACTGACTTTGATGCTCTCATTGACTGACTTTGAGTTTTGTGCTCTCATTGACTGACTTTGAGTTTGATGCTCTCATTGACTGACTTTGAGTTTGATGCTCTCATTGACTGACTTTGAGTTTGGTGCTCTCATTGACTGACTTTGAGTTTGATGCTCTCAGTGACTGACTTTGAGTTTGATGCTCTCATTGACTGACTTTGATGCTCTCATTGACTGACTTTGAGTTTGGTGCTCTCATTGACTGACTTTGATGCTCTCATTGACTGACTTTGATGCTCTCATTGACTGACTTTGATGCTCTCATTGACTGACATTGAGTTTGATGCTCTCATTGACTGACTTTGATGCTCTCATTGACTGACTTTGAGTTTGGTGCTCTCATTGACTGACTTTGATGCTCTCATTGACTGACTTTGAGTTTGATGCTCTCATTGACTGACTTTGAGTTTGGTGCTCTCATTGACTGACTTTGACTTTGATGCTCTCATTGACTGACTTTGAGTTTGATGCTCTCATTGACTGACTTTGAGTTTGGTGCTCTCATTGACTGACTTTGAGTTTGATGCTCTCATTGGCTGACTTTGAGTTTGATGCTCTCATTGACTGACTTTGAGTTTGGTGCTCTCATTGACTGACTTTGATGTTCTCATTGACTGACTTTGATGCTCTCATTGACTGACTTTGATGCTCTCATTGACTGACTTTGAGTTTGGTGCTCTCATTGTTTGAGTTTGATGCTCTCATTGACTGACTTTGAGTTTGGTGCTCTCATTGACTGACTTTGATGTTCTCATTGACTGACTTTGATGCTCTCATTGACTGACTTTGATGCTCTCATTGACTGACTTTGATGCTCTCTTTGACTGACTTTGAGGCTCTCATTGACTGACTTTGGTGCTCTCATTGACTGACTTTGAGTTTGGTGCTCTCATTGACTGACTTTGATGCTCTCATTGACTGACTTTGAGTTTGGTGCTCTCATTGACTGACTTTGAGTTTGGTGCTCTCATTGACTGACTTTGAGTTTGGTGCTCTCATTGACTGACTTTGAGTTTGGTGCTCTCATTGACTGACTTTGACTTTGGTGCTCTCATTGACTGACTTTGGTGCTCTCATTGACTGACTTTGGTGCTCTCGTTAACTGACTTTGAGTTTGATGCTCTCATTGACTGACTTTGAGTTTGATGCTCTCATTGACTGACTTTGATGCTCTCATTGACTGACTTTGAGTTTGATGCTCTCGTTGACTGACTTTGATTTTGATGCTCTTATTGACTGACTTTGAGTTTGATGCTCTCATTGACTGACTTTGAGTTTGATGCTCTCAGTGACTGACTTTGATGCTCTCATTGACTGACTTTGAGTTTGGTGCTCTCATTGACTGACTTTGAGTTTGGTGCTCTCATTGACTGACTGAGTTTGGTGCTCTCATTGACTGACTTTGAGTTTGGTGCTCTCATTGACTGACTTTGAGTTTGGTGCTCTCATTGACTGACTTTGAGTTTGGTGCTCTCATTGACTGACTTTGAGTTTGGTGCTCTCATTGACTGACTTTGAGTTTGGTGCTCTCATTGACTGACTGGGTCTGGTTTCCTCAGTCAGCTGGTCAGAGCAGAGAAAGTGCAAAATGAAGCCATAGACTGATCCTCAGCTGCACAAGAGACACTTCACATCGCACGGCATGGGAGACATCCTCCACTTGCCATGGTCACCAGACACAAAATGAACCAGGTGAAGGCATACCTGGGTGCTTCTGTCGACATAAAACACCCTTGGCACCGGTGAATGAAGGTTAGGGCCTAAAAAGGGGGCGGTCCCGAATGGAGGAAGCAGTGGACACCATTAGCCAAATGTGCCCATTGAAACATGTCAGGCTCCGTGCTGACTGGCTACAGCAACAGAAAGAATGCAGGAGCACATTGAGATAATCAGCCTGGGCAGAGAATAGAGCCAAAGGGCTGCTGATGCTGAAATGAGAGCCCTCATCCAGCTGACGTCTATACAGATGGTTCAATAATTTATGGACTGCTGTCTAGGTGGGCATACGAATTGGTCAAACTGATCAGCTAGAATGTCAATATGGACAACAAGTTTACATTTATATCTTGCATCGCACACCTTTGTTATTTATACCATGTATCACACATTTCTGTAGATAAGAAAGTTGCATAAATGTGTATCTTGTATCAAACATCTACACACATTCAGCTAGTAACGGAAGATTCTGGCCGGGTTCACTCAAGGTTTCATGCTTCTTGCCATTGTTCAGGTGAGAATGTTCAACAAGGTAGAGAGAATACAGATCCCCTGCCCAACCCCTGGGCCAGCCCTGACTCTTCACCTGGTACAGGTGTCACTGCCAACCCTGCCTCCACCACTCCAATTCCAAACACAGGTACTTATTTGTTTATTTCATCTGAAACTGATCAACAGATCGCTGACGGTTGGCACTGGTTGCGTAGAGTTGAAAATAAGAGATGTTCTGACAGCAGAGATGGTGGGACAAGGGGTGGGTAATACGAGAAGTAATAGTGTTATGAATGATGGCAGAGTAGAAGATAGGCGCAGACATAGTAGATGACAGAAACATTAAGAAATACTGATGAATTATGGGACTAAAGAGGACATAAATAGATATAGAGCACATTAGACGTGAGAAAGTTGTGGCAGATACTTGATTATGTTTCCTGGGGACATAAATAGATGTTGTGCACATTAGACATGAGAAAGTTGTGGCAGATACTTGATTATGTTTCCTGGTGGCATAAATAGATGTTGAGCACATTAGACGTGAGAAAGTTGTGACAGATACTTGATAATGTTTCCTGGGGACATAAATAGATGTTGTGCACATTAGACATAAGAAAGTTGTGGCAGATACTTGATTATGTTTCCTGTGGGCATAAATAGATGTTGTGCACATTAGACATAAGAAAGTTGTGGCAGATACTTGATAATGTTTCCTGGGGACATAAATAGATGTTGAGCACATTAGACATGAGAAAGTTATGGCAGATACTTGATAATGTTTCCTGGGGGCATAAATAGATATAGAGCACATTAGACGTGAGAAAGTTGTGGCAGGTACTTGATTATGTTTCCTGGGGACATAAATAGATGTAGAGCACATTAGACATGAGAAAGTTGTGGCAGATACTTGATTATGTTTCCTGGGGACATAAATAGATATAGAGCACATTAGATGTGAGCAAGTTTTAGTTATTTAAATGTTTACAAAGAGGTCATAGTTCAAAGCCACTGATCAGAACGAGGCAATCACATTTTTATGTGTGTGAGTGAGAGAGAGGCCACTTTAGGATGAGGAGAAGCAAGAACATATGATAACTTGAAACATTGATGAAAGAGTGAGGAAGACACCAAGGGATGATTTATGTCAGGTTTATCCAGGCATAGAATGGTTTTTGCAACATTTGTAGCATCACAGATCTAACACTGATATCATGTCTTTCTGTTCCAACTGAAATTGTGACCGTAGTTTCTTCAAGGCATTAATATGTGTCTAGTACTCGCTTCAGCATTCATGTTGGTGTGAACATATTCTGTGTTTGCATAGACATTTATGTGGATGCGTAGTTTCCTCAGAGATATTGGTGTGGATGTGTGGTTCCTTCACAGACATTGGTGTGGATGTGTGGTTCCCTCACAGACATTGGTGTGGATGTGTGGTTCCCTCAGACATTGGTGTGGATGTGTGGTTCCCTCACAGACACTGGTGTGGGTGTGTGGTTCCCTCACAGACATTGGTGTGGGTGTGTGGTACCCTCACAGACATTGGTGTGGATTTGTGGTTCCCTCACAGACATTGGTGTGGATGTGTGGTTCCCTCACAGACATTTGTGTGGATGTGTGGTTCCCTCACAGACATTGGTGTGGGTGCATGGTTTCCTCACAGACATTGGTGTGCGTGCATGGTTTCCTCACAGACATTTGTGTGGATGTGTGATTATCTCACAGACATTGGTGTGCGTGCATGGTTTCCTCACAGACATTGGTGTGGGTGTGTGATTATCTCACAGACATTGGTGTGGGTTTGTGATTATCTCACAGACATTGGTGTGGGTTTGTGATTATCTCACAGACATTGGTGTGGGTGTGTGATTATCTCACAGACATTGGTGTGGGTGTGTGATTATCTCACAGACATTGGTGTGGGTGTGTGATTATCTCACAGACATTGGTGTGGGTTTGTGATTATCTCACAGACATTGGTGTGGGTGTGTGATTATCTTACATACATTGTTGTGGATGTGTGGTTCCCTCACAGACATAGATAAAGTGTCTCCTGTTGCCTTCCACAGCCATGTTGAACAGTCCGGGGATGCAGAGCTTGCTGCAGCAGATGACCCAGAACCCCCAGGTGATGAGCAACATGATGCAGGCACCGTACATGCAGACCATGCTGCAGTCCCTGTCGGCAAACCCCGAGCTCACACAACAGGTACGCACATCTCAGAGATGAGGCTTGCTTTCTAAATGTTTGTCTGCTAGGCTTAACAGTGATCCTGGGTTCAGTTCCCTGGGCATGCCCATAGGTGATCAGATCTTCTCCATAGTCAGTTGAGGCACACAGGGACACTCTCTGTCAGTTGAGGCACACAGGGACACTCTCTGTCAGTTGAGGCACACAGGGACACTCTCTGTCAGTTGAGGCACACAGGGACACTCTCTGTCAGTTGAGGCACACAGGGACACTCTCTGTCAGTTGAGGCACACAGGGACACTCTCTGTCAGTTGAGGCACACAGGGACACTCTCTGTCAGTTGAGGCACACAGGGGACACTCTCTGTCAGTTGAGGCACACAGGGACACTCTCTGCCAGTTGAGGCACACAGGGGACACTCTCTGTCAGTTGAGGCACACAGGGACACTCTCTGTCAGTTGAGGCACACAGGGACACTCTCTGTCAGTTGAGGCACACAGGGACACTCTCTGCCAGTTGAGGCACACAGGGACACTCTCTGTCAGTTGAGGCACACAGGGACACTCTCTGTCAGTTGAGGCACACAGGGACACTCTCTGTCAGTTGAGGCACACAGGGACACTCTCTGTCAGTTGAGGCACACAGGGACACTCTCTGTCAGTTGAGGCACACAGGGACACTCTCTGTCAGTTGAGGCACACAGGGACACTTTCTGCCAGTTGAGGCACACAGGGACACTTTCTGCCAGTTGAGGACACTTTCTGCCAGTTGAGGCACACAGGGACACTCTCTGCCAGTTGAGGCACACAGGGACACTCTCTGTCAGTTGAGGCACACAGGGACACTCTCTGTCAGTTGAGGCACACAGGGACACTCTCTGTCAGTTGAGGCACACAGGGACACTCTCTGTCAAGTTGAGGCACACAGGGACACTCTCTGCCAGTTGAGGCACACAGGGACACTCTCTGCCAGTTGAGGCACACACAGGGACACTCTCTGTCAGTTGAGGCACACAGGGACACTCTCTGTCAATTGAGGCACACAGGGACACTCTCTGTGAGGCACACAGGGACACTCTCTTGTCAGTTGAGGCACACAGGGACACTCTCTGTCAGTTGAGGCACACAGGCACAAGGACACTCTCTGTCAGTTGAGGCACACAGGGACACTCTCTGTCAGTTGAGGCACACAGGGACACTCTCTGTCAGTTGAGGCACACAGGGACACTCTCTGTCAGTTGAGGCACACAGGGACACTTTCTGTCAGTTGAGGCACACAGGGACACTCTCTGTCAGTTGAGGCACACAGGGACACTCTCTGTCAGTTGAGGCACACAGGGACACTCTCTGTCAGTTGAGGCACACAGGGACACTCTCTGTCAGTTGAGGCACACAGGGACACTCTCTGTCAGTTGAGGCACACAGGGACACTCTCTGTCAGTTGAGGCACACAGGGACACTTTCTGTCAGTGAGGCACACAGGGACACTCTCTGTCAGTTGAGGCACACAGGGACACTTTCTGTCAGTTGAGGCACACAGGGACACTCTCTGTCAGTTGAGGCACACAGGGACACTCTCTGTCAGTTGAGGCACACAGGGACACTTTCTGTCAGTTGAGGCACACAGGGACACTCTCTGTCCAGTTGAGGCACACAGGGACACTCTCTGTCAGTTGAGGCACACAGGGACACTCTCTGTCAGTTGCACACAGGACACACAGGGACACTCTCTGTCAGTTGAGGCACACAGGGACACTTTCTGTCAGTTGAGGCACACAGGGACACTTTCTGTCAGTTGAGGCACACAGGGACACTCTCTGTCAGTTGAGGCACACAGGGACACTCTCTGTCAGTTGTGGGTGACACTCTGTCAGTTGAGGCACACAGGGACACTCTCTGTCAGTTGAGGCACACAGGGACACTCTCTGTCAGTTGAGGCACACAGGGACACTCTCTGTCAGTTGAGGCACACAGGGACACTCTCTGTCAGTTGAGGCACACAGGGACACTCTCTGTCAGTTGAGGCAACACAGGGACACTCTCTCGTCAGTTGAGGCACACAGGGACACTCTCTGTCAGTTGAGGCACACAGGGACACTCTCTGTCAGTTGAGGCACACAGGGACACTCTCTGTCAGTTGAGGCACACAGGGACACTCTCTGTCAGTTGAGGCACACAGGGACACTCTCTGTCAGTTGAGGCACACAGGGACACTCTCTGTCAGTTGAGGCACACAGGGACACTCTCTGTCAGTTGAGGGCAACAGGGACACTCTCTGTCAGGCACACAGGGACACTTCTCTGTCAGTTGAGGCACACAGGGACACTTTCTGCCAGTTGAGATGCACACAGGGACACTCTCTGTCAGTTGAGGCACACAGGGACACTCTCTGTCAGTTGAGGCACACAGGGACACTCTTCTGCCAGTTGAGGCACACACTTTCTGCCAGGACACTCTCTGCCAGTTGCACACAGGGACACTCTCTGTCAGTTGAGGTCACACGGGGACACTCTCTGTCAGTTGAGGCACACAGGGACACTCTCTGTCAGTTGAGGCACACAGGGACACTCTCTGTCAGTTGAGGCACACAGGGACACTCTCTGTCAGTTGAGGCACAACAGGGACACTCTCTGCCAGTTGAGGCACACAGGACACTCTCTGTCAGTTGAGGCACACAGGGACACTCTCTGTCAGTTGAGGCACACAGGGACACTCTCTGTCAGTTGAGGCACACAGGGACACTCTCTGTCAGTTGAGGCACACAGGGACACTCTCTGTCAGTTGAGGCACACAGGGACACTCTCTGTCAGTTGAGGCACACAGGGGACCACTCTCTGTCAGTTGAGGCACACAGGGACACTCTGTCTGTCAGTTGAGGCACACAGAGGACACTTTCTGCCAGTTGAGGCACACAGGGACACTCTCTGTCAGTTGAGGCACACAGGGACACTCTCTGTCAGTTGAGGCACACAGGGACACTCTCTGTCAGTTGAGGCACACAGGGACACTCTCTGTCAGTTGAGGCACACAGGGACACTCTCTGTCAGTTGAGGCACACAGGGACACTCTCTGTCAGTTGAGGCACACAGGGACACTTTCTGTCAGTTGAGGCACACAGGGACACTCTCTGTCAGTTGAGGCACACAGGGACACTTTCTGCCAGTTGAGGCACACAGGGACACTCTCTGTCAGTTGAGGCACACAGGGACACTCTCTGTCAGTTGAGGCACACAGGGACACTCTCTGTCAGTTGAGGCACACAGGGACACTCTCTGTCAGTTGAGGCACACAGGGACACTCTCTGTCAGTTGAGGCACACAGGGACACTCTCTGTCAGTTGAGGCACACAGGGACACTCTCTGTCAGTTTGAGGCACACAGGGACACTTTCTGCCAGTTGAGGCACACAGGGACACTTTCTGCCAGTGAGGCACACAGGGACACTCTCTGTCAGTTGAGGCACACAGGGACACTGGACACTCTCTGTCAGTTGAGGCACACAGGGACACTCTCTGTCAGTTGAGGCACACAGGGACACTCTCTGTCAGTTGAGGCACACACAGGGACACTCTCTGTCAGTTGAGGCACACAGGGACACTCTCTGTCAGTTTTGAGGCACACAGGGACACTCTCTGTCAGTTTGAGGCACACAGGGACACTCTCTGGTCAGTTGAGGGCACACAGGGACACTCTCTGTCAGTTGAGGCACACAGGGACTCTCTCTGTCAGTTGAGGCACACAGGGACACTCTCTGTCAGTTGAGGCACACAGGGACACTCTCTGTCAGTTGAGGCACACAGGACACTTTCTGCCAGTTGAGGCACACAGGGACACTCTCTGTCAGTTGAGGCAACACAGGGACACTCTCTGTCAGTTTGAGGCACACAGGGACACTCTCTGTCAGTGTGAGGCACACAGGGACACTCTCTGTCAGTTGAGGCACACAGGGACACTCTCTGTCAGTTGAGGCACACAGGGACACTCTCTGTCAGTTGAGGCACACAGGGACACTCTCTGTCAGTTGAGGCACACAGGGACACTCTCTGTCAGTTGAGGCACACAGGGACACTCTGTCAGTTTCTTCAAAGCGACACTCTGTGTCAGTGCACACAGGGACACTTTCTGCCAGTTTGAGGCACACAGGGACACTTTCTGCCAGTTGAGGCACACAGGGACACTCTCTGTCAGTTGAGGCACACAGGGACACTCTCTGCCAGTTGAGGCACACAGGGACACTCTCTGCCAGTTGAGGCACACAGGGACACTTTCTGCCAGTTGAGGCACACAGGGACACTTTCTGCCAGTTGAGGCACACAGGGACACTCTCTGTCAGTTGAGGCACACAGGGACACTCTCTGTCAGTTGAGGCACACAGGGACACTTTCTGCCAGTTGAGGCACACAGGGACACTCTCTGCCAGTTGAGGCACACAGGGACACTCTCTGTCAGTTGAGGCACACAGGGACACTCTCTGTCAGTTGAGGCACACAGGGACACTTTCTGCCAGTTGAGGCACACAGGGACACTTTCTGCCAGTTGAGGCACACAGGGACACTCTCTGTCAGTTGAGGCACACAGGGACACTCTCTGTCAGTTGAGGCACACAGGGACACTCTCTGTCAGTTGAGGCACACAGGGACACTCTCTGTCAGTTGAGGCACACAGGGACACTCTCTGTCAGTTGAGGCACACAGGGACACTCTCTGTCAGTTGAGGCACACAGGGACACTCTCTGTCAGTTGAGGCACACAGGGACACTCTCTGTCAGTTGAGGCACCACAGGGACACTCTCTGCCAGTTGAGGCACACCGGGACACTTTCTGCCAGTTGAGGCACACAGGGACACTTTCTGCCAGTTGAGGCACACAGGGACACTCTCTGTCAGTTGAGGCACACCAGGGACACTTCTTTGAGGCACACAGGGACACTTTCTGCCAGTTGAAAGCAACACAGGGACACTTTCTGCCAGTTGAGGCACACAGGGGGACACTTTCTGCCAGTTGTACACAGCGGAACACTCTCTTGCAGCACACAGGGACACTCTCACAGGTCAGTTGAAGTACACAGGGACACTTTCTGTCAGTTGAGGCACACAGGGACACTTTCTGCCAGTTGAGGCACCCACAGGGACACTTTCTGTCAGTTGAAGCACACAGGGACACTTTCTGTTCCAGTTGAGGCACACAGGGACACTTTTCTGCCAGTGAATGGAAGCCCACAGGGACACTTTCTGTCAGTTGAAGCACACAGGGACACTTTCTGCCAGTTGAAGCACACAGGGACACTTTCTGCCAGTTGAGGCACACAGGGACACTTTCTGCCAGTTGAAGCACACAGGGACACTTTCTGCCAGTTGAAGCACACAGGGACACTTTCTGCCAGTTGAAGCACACAGGGACACTTTCTGCCAGTTGAGGCACACAGGGACACTTTCTGCCAGTTGAAGCACACAGGGACACTTTCTGCCAGTTGAGGCACATAGGGACACTCTCTGTCAGTTGAGGCACACAGGGACACTCTCTGTCAGTTGAGGCACACAGGGACACTCTCTGTCAAATGAATCTGTTTCTCCTGCAAGAAATTATGTGGTCTGTTCTGTTTCTGCAGCAAGAAATTCCTTAACCTAAATAGCTGTTCTGTTTCTTCTGCAAGAAATTCCTTGAGCTAGTAAATAGCTGTTCTGTTTCTCCTGCAAGAAATTCCTTTACCTAAGTAGCTGTTCTGTTTCTCCAGCAAGAAATTCCTTCACCTAGTAAGTAGCTGTTCTGTTTCTCTTGCAAGAAATTCCTTCACCTAGTAAGTAGCTGTTCTGTTTCTCCTGCAAAAAATTCCTTCACCTAGTAAGTAGCTGTTCTGTTTCTCTTGCAAGAAATTCCTTGACCTAGTAAGTAGCTGTTCTGTTTCTCTTGCAAGAAATTCCTTCACCTAGTAAGTAGCTGTTCTGTTTCTCCTGCAAGAAATTCCTTCACCTAGTAAGTAGCTGTTCTGTTTCTCTTGCAAGAAATTCCTTCACCTAGTAGCTGTAGCTGTTTCTGCAAGAAATTCCTTGACCTTTCTCTGTTTCTCTTGCAAGAAATTCCTTGACCTAGTAAGTAGCTGTTCTGTTTTCTGTTCCTCACCTGCAAGTAGCTGTTCTGTTTCTCCTTCACCTAGTAAGTAGCTGTTCTGTTTCTCCTGCAAGAAATTCCTTTCCTAGTAAGTAGCTGTTCTGTTTCTAGAAATTCCTTTGACACCTAGTAAGTAGCTGTGTTTCTGTTTCTTGCAAGAAATTCCTTGACCTAGTGAGTAGCTGTTCTGTTTCTCTTGCAAGAAATTCCTTGACCTAGTAAGTAGCTGTTCTGTTTCTATTGCAAGAAATTCCTTGACCTAGTAAGTAGCTGTTCTGTTTCTCCTGCAAGAAATTTCTTCACCTAGTATGTAGCTGTTCTGTTTCTCCTGCAAGAAATTCCTTGACCTAGTAAGTAGCTGTTCTGTTTCTCCTGCAAGAAATTCCTTCACCTAGTAAGTAGCTGTTCTGTTTCTCCTGCAAGAAATTCCTTCACCTAGTAAGTAGCTGTTCTGTTTCTCTTGCAAGAAATTCCTTGACCTAGTAAGTAGCTGTTCTGTTTCTCCTGCAAGAAATTCCTTGACCTAGTAAGTAGCTGTTCTGTTTCTCTTGCAAGAAATTCCTTGACCTAGTAAGTAGCTGTTCTGCTTCTCCTGCAAGAAATTCCTTGACCTAGTAAGTAGCTGTTCTGTTTCTCTTGCAAGAAATTCCTTGACCTAGTAAGTAGCTGTTCTGTTTCTCCTGCAAGAAATTCTATGACACCTACTTCTCCTCTTTACAGATTGCATCCACAGTTGAGACACTTAAAAAAAAGGTGAGAAGTCGGTCCTGCAACAACTGTGCTACATTTTGTTTCCAAAAACTTCAGCACAAACAAGCAATGTTTGTGCAACAGTTTCATTCAAATAAATTGTTATTCCTCAACAAGATAGGGGAGAGAACTACATACTAGAGCATCATTATGATACTGTTGTACTGTTTACATGCCGTTTATGGTTTACACTTGATTCCTCCTTTATTTTGTCCGATGCAATTCTTTTGATATTGTGTAGAATCCAGCCGGACACCCCTGGCTTTTCTCATCGGTGTCTATCACAGGGTTTCTTTTGAACGTCTCTACTTTTTTGTATTTCTGTGACTTTCATCCGCCAGTGTGCCCAGAAACAGGGGAGATAAAAGATAATCCTATCTCATGGGATTACAGATTGTTTTATGAGAAACACAAGCAGGACCTGGTATACAGTAACAAAGGGAGAGAGATCAACATTTTAGTTGAGTGGTTGTTTTTAAATGCAGGATAGAAAACAAAATTTATTCCTGCCTCACGAATACAGATCAAAGTAATAATGAAATAGCTTTTTGAGTAAAACCTAACGGTTATGAATCAGGCTGTCACTCGTACATATTTGCCAACCCTTTGATGGTGATAAGTGAAGAGCTAAGATACAGGAATGTGAGGTGTAGCTCAGATGCTGCCTACATCTGCCTGCTTCACATCCTGCTCCTCTGACTTGTATCCTTTCCAGCTCTTTAAGTTTGTATTGATTGTTTCTTTGCAGCATCTCAGTATATGACAGTTTTTGTCTTACCATGTGTTGCTGCAGTGAACATCAATCAGACTTATTTGCCTTGATTGCAGCCACAGTTTCAATGTTCAGCTGTGACAGTCTGATGGTAGATTTGTGTGTGTGGGATACATGTGCTCATGGCAAGCTTGTGCTTGACCCATAACAAGTGTTTATGATCAGATTTTTACACAGCCAGCTTTTGCACAATAACTGCTTATCTGAGAAGGCCGATCTATTTCTTTGATATGCTTGTTTCACATATTTGAGTTGAAGATATTTCTCTCTCACAGATTATTGGCAACAATCCTTTGTTTCCTATATTTCTCTCTCACACAGATTATTTGCAACAAACCTGTGTTTGCTATATTTCTCTCTCACACAGATTATTTGCAACAAACCTGTGTTTGCTATATTTCTCTCTCACACAGATTATTTGCAACAAACCTATTTTTGCTATATTTCTCTCTCACAGATTATTGGCAACAATCCTTTGTTTGCTAACAACCCCCAGCTACAGTCCAGCATGAGCACCATGATGCCAACATTACTGCAGCAGGTAAGTCTTCTACAGCCTGATAGCTCTACCTCCTCCACCACCTGGACAAGAGGCAAGGATTCTCTCTTGTAACCTCTGCTCTGACCATCTTGTGTTTATGTGAAGCTGTCAGTTGTAGGTTACCAGATAGACTATTTACTGTTACCCATTCAAGGGTTTAAGATTTTGTTTCTTTCCGGCAGGCACTGGCCTGAAACAGTGATATAAACATTGTGTGCACATCTAGGTCACATAAAGCACATAGTATTCTAGTTTAGCTAGTTGAACATCATTCTCATAAACACCAAAGCATTCAGTCAATAAATGTTGGATCCTTTCCTCTGTGTGTCTCTCATTGACTGTTCTTTATCCCCCGACGTCATACTTTTCTGACACTTCATCTCTTCTCTGTGTGTCTCTCATTGACTGTTCTTTATCCCCCGACGTCATACTTTTCTGACACTTCATCTCTTCTCTGTGTGTCTCTCATTGACTGTTCTTTATCCCCCGACGTCATACTTTTCTGACACTTCATCTCTTCTCTGTGTGTCTCTCATTGACTGTTCTTTATCCCCCGACGTCATACTTTTCTGACACTTCATCTCTTCTCTGTGTGTCTCTCATTGACTGTTCTTTATCCCCCAACGTCATACTTTTCTGACACTTCATCTCTTCTCTGTGTGTCTCTCATTGACTGTTCTTTATCCCCCAACGTCATACTTTTCTGACACTTCATCTCTTCTCTGTGTGTCTCTCATTGACTGTTCTTTATCCCCCGACATCATACTTTTCTGACACTTCATCTCTTCTCTGTGTGTCTCTCATTGACTGTTCTTTTTCCCCCAACGTTATACTTTTCTGACACTTCATCTCTTCTCTGTGTGTCTCTCATTGACTGTTCTTTATCCCCCAACGTTATACTTTTCTGACACTTCATCTCTTCTCTGTGTGTCTCTCATTGACTGTTCTTTATCCCCCAACGTCATACTTTTCTGACACTTCATCTCTTCTCTGTGTGTCTCTCATTGACTGTTCTTTATCCCCCAACGTTATACTTTTCTGACACTTCATCTCTTCTCTGTGTGTCTCTCATTGACTGTTCTTTATCCCCCAACGTTATACTTTTCTGACACTTCATCTCTTCTCTGTGTGTCTCTCATTGACTGTTCTTTATCCCCCAACGTCATACTTTTCTGACACTTCATCTCTTCTCTGTGTGTCTCTCATTGACTGTTCTTTATCCCCCAACGTCATACTTTTCTGACATTTCATCTCTTCTCTGTGTGGGTCCAGGAGAGCACTGTGGAGAAAACAATAATAGACCCACTGCCTACCTAAAAGCTTGTCTTAGGAGTCGACTAATGGGGGAGCTTCCTTTGAAGTCAGAATACATCTGCTTTAGAGGCAAGGAACCAACAATCTGCATGCACACAGGTCACACCAGTGAAACAGATGTACATGCAACACTCAGTTTCTGGAACAGAACCAGAGTCCAGGAATGGAGAATAACCAGAACTTTCTGCCAGAGATTGTGGCCAAAGAACATGAAGAAGAAGAAGATATTCATTATTTGTCTAAGTGGTGTAATTGTGCTGTATCTGTTTACAACATAGCATTTGTCCAAGTGGTGTAATTGTGCTGTATGTGTTTACAGCTTAGCATTTGTCCAAGTGGTGTAATTGTGCTGTGTCTGTTTACAACATAGCATTTGTCCAAGTAGTGTAATTGTGCTGTGTCTGTTTACAACATAGCATTTGTTCAAGTAGTGTAATTGTGCTGTATCTGTTTACAGCATAGCATTTGTCCAAGTGGTGTAATTGTGCTGTATCTGTTTACAACATAGCATTTGTCCAAGTAGTGTAATTGTGCTGTGTCTGTTTACAACATAGCATTTGTCCAAGTAGTGTAATTGTGCTGTGTCTGTTTACAACATAGCATTTGTCCAAGTGGTGTAATTGTGCTATATCTGTTTGCAGCATAGCATTTGTCTGAGGCTTTATCTCTGCTGACTTGCTGTTCTTGTAGTTTGGTCCAGCTGGCAGATTCAACCATCGTGTAATTCACAAAGTCACCCTCATTTCTTTAAGGACATTCAGATATCAAGCCTGGTCCATTGCCGACCTGTTTCCACATTAGGTCTGCCAGCAAGCCTGTCATCTTATTTGTTTCCTCTTACACGAGAATGCCATGGCACAAATAGTGCAAGAAGTATTTGAGCCTAGCTCATCGCGATCTTTCTGAACCTACTCACTGAGAGAATCTGCCTGAAAAAAGTCTTGTCTCCGGCATGGTTTTTGCTTTCATTACTGCAGGAACCTCTAGTCAGACACACTACTTGTAGCTGAGGCAGAAGTACCAGAATCTGCCTTTAGCATGAACTGTAACAACCCATGAGCTTTTCAAGTGCAGACTGAATCTAGACTGAAAAAAACAGATTTTCTATAGCTTGTTATGTATTTTGAATGGCAAGAGTATTTATGTGTCGTATTTCCTACAGCAAGAGACCAGTTTTCTTTCTCTGGTGTTTTCCTAATCAGGTGTCACTTAGTGTGGCCTAGTGTTTTCTCTTGTATAACTTGTCAGCCTTTGCAGGGACAGCACTAGAACACCAGCTACTGTTTCCCCCACATCATGGCTGCCTTCACTGAACCCCATTGTTTTTGCTGTCCAACAGATGCAGAACCCAGAGATGCAGAACATGATGACCAACCCACGAGTCCTGGAGGCTCTAGGCCAGATCCAGACCGGGTTGTCACAACTGCAGCAGGAGTCCCCAAATATATATTCCAGGTTGATCTTGCCTGTGTGTGTTGACTTGTAATGTTATGTTGACAATTGTCATGTTACCAGTCTGCTTCCTGTGTTCTTGAGGATGGATACCACTACGGAATGAACTGGGAGATAGCTACAGACATTAGGCTTCAGGGTGGTCTCATGTACAAGTCTACATTATAGTTAGCTACAAGAGAGTGGTCACAGACAGGATCATCTCATGTACTTCAGTTAGCTATGATCTCATGTACAGGAGAGTCATGTAGTTAGTCTACATTATAGTTAGCTACAAGAGAGTGGTCACAGACAGGATGATCTCATGTACAAGTCTACATTATAGTTAGCTACAAGAGAGTGGTCACAGACAGGCTTCAGGATGATCTCATGTACAAGTCTACATTATAGCTTCAGGATGATCTCATGTACAAGTCTACATTATAGTTAGCTACAAGAGAGTGGTCACAGACAGGATGATCTCATGTACAAGTCTACATTATAGTTAGCTACAAGAGAGTGGTCACAGACAGGATGGTCTCATGTACAAGTCTACATTATAGTTAGCTACAAGAGAGTGGTCACAGACAGGATGATCTCATGTACAAGTCTACATTATAGTTAGCTACAAGAGAGTGGTCACAGACAGGATGATCTCATGTACAAGTCTACATTATAGTTAGCTACAAGAGAGTGGTCACAGACAGGATGGTCTCATGTACAAGTCTACATTATAGTTAGCTACAAGAGAGTGGTCACAGACAGGATGGTCTCATGTACAAGTCTACATTATAGTTAGCTACAAGAGAGTGGTCACAGACAGGGATCTCTTACAAGTCTACATTGTCTCATGTACAGGAGAGTGGTCTACATCATAGATCACTGTACAAGTCTACATTATCTAGTACAGCTACAAGAGAGTGGTCACAGACAGGATGATACAAACTCATGTACACAGTCTACATTGATAGTTACAGTCTACATTATAGTTAGCTAATGGAAGATCATCTGTCACAATTAATAGAAAGTACACAACAGAAAGTTGTGGATAGAAATGACTACTGACGCCTGCAATAAGTCATCTTCTACTTGCAATACACTTTCATGATGTCACTTCAATGGTACACTCTCCCTGCTGTCATTCCACAAGTACACTCTCCCATCTGTCGCATTCACAAGTACACTCTCCATTCTGTCACTTCACAAGTACACTCTCCCATCTGTCGCGTTCACAAGTACACTCTCCATTCTTCACTTCACAAGTACACTCTCCCATCTGTCGCGTTCACAAGTACACTCTCCATTCTGTCACTTCACAAGTACACTCTCCCATCTGTCACTTCACTAGAAGACTTTCTGTGCTGTCATGATTATATTGTTCTGGTGTTAGTCCCACTTTTCCCTGCCCAAACAAGATTTGGTGATTGATGTAATGTTAGCTTCTTGGTGATTGATGTAATGTTAGCTTCTACCAGAAATATCTCTGGTACCCAGCTGATGTGGCTGGGTCTGACCACAAGCCAGGCCAACAGTTTGATCTAATTTAGAGCTTACTTCCATGGCAACCAAGCCACATGCGAGTGCACTAGCCTTACACCACCAAGCTCATTTCTGCTGAAAGTGGACAAATTTACAGACAGTAATAAAATCTGTGTGGCTTTTCTTTCTCCAGCATGACAGGTTTAGGCAGTCTGCCACCGACGATGACAGGTCTGCCCATACCCAGCACCACCAACCCAACATCTCCCTCTGTGACTGCATCGACCACTACCACAACCACATCCCCAAATGGGGGCATCACTTCGGCTGGGGGCCCACTAGGACAAGGTCTTCAGAGCAATCCAGAGGCCTTCTCTAACATGATGGCACAGATGATGCAGATGATAGTCGGGGGGCAGCAGGTCAGTGACCGCTGTAGTTGCTCATGTCAGCTTGTCTTTTCACACAGTTGATGTTTATGTCTTTTCACACAGTTGATGTTTATGTCTGGCTCACACAGTTGATGTTTATGTCTGGATCACACAGTTGATGTTTATGTCTGCCTCACACAGTTGATGTTTATGCCTGCCTCACACAGTTGATGTTTATGTCTGCCTCACACAGTTGATGTTTATGTCTGGCTCACACAGTTGATGTTTATGTCTGCCTCACACAGTTTATGTTTATGTCTGGATCACACAGTTGATGTTTATGTATGGATCACACCGTTGATGTTTATGTATGGATCACACCGTTGATGTTTATGTCTGCCTCACACAGTTGATGTTTATGTCTGCCTCACACAGTTTATGTTTATGTCTGGATCACACAGTTGATGTTTATGTCTGGCTCACACAGTTGATGTTTATGTCTGCCTCACACAGTTGATGTTTATGTCTGGATCACACAGTTGATGTTTATGTCTGGCTCACACAGTTGATGTTTATGTCTGGATCACACAGTTGATGTTTATGTCTGGATCACACAGTTGATGTTTATGTCTGCCTCACACAGTTGATGTTTATGTCTGGCTGAAACTTATGCAAGAAAATGTGTGTGTACATAAATGTCTGTGTGTCATCAGGGCCAGCCCCCGGAACAGTTGTACGCCTCACAGTTGGAACAGCTGGCCAACATGGGCTTTGTGGACAGACAAGCCAACATCACAGGTGAGAATTCTAGTTGAAGATTTTTTGAACTTGCAGAACTCTCTGGATTGTGTCAAACTACATCCATGACTCTCATACAGCAACACAGACTACAAATATAGCAGCAGTTGAAAACAATAATGTTGCAACCAAAAAAAACAACAGAATTGGGCAACACTTTGAAACAGTTGCACTTCTATATCTGAGATGTTTACTCCTAGATCTCTGTCTTAGCTGGGGGGGGGGGGGGGGGGGGGGGGGAGCAGACTGGTTAAAATATCATCCAACCTGCTGGAGAGTAGTAACAGTTTTGGTGTGATACATCAGTTGTCCAGCTGCCATTACCACAGTACAGAGTGAGGTACTGCAGCACATAGTAAAGTGCTGTAGTACACAGTGAGATGCTACAGTACATGTTGAGGCATTACAGTACACAGTGGGGTACTGCAGTACATGGAGAGATACTGCAGTACATGGAGAGATACTGCAGTACATGGAGAGGTACTACAGCACATGTTGAGGCATTACAGTACACAGTGAGATGCTACAGTGTACGATGAGGCGCCACAGTACAGTGAGGTTTCGCAGGTACTGTGAGGTACTCTGGTACACAGTAAAGTGCTACAGTACATATTGAGATGATGATTGTTATTTGTCTTACAGCCCTGACAGCCACTCTTGGGGATGTGAACGCAGCTATCGACAGACTGTTGCGTCCAAGCTGATTTGTTGTCGTCTACAGTCATAGATGTGTTGATTCTTTTCTGTCAGCGGAGACAGCGTTTGGCCAACTGACTTTCAGCATCTGTTGGGATGAAGTTTATTTCCTGATGCTGGAAACATATTCACAACACTGGACCAGCACACACCTTCCATGATACCACTGAACATTCACCCATGTACCTTCATATCACACACAGCAACACGGAACACACACACACTAACCTTTATTCTTTCTCGTCGATGCCATTCCATCAACACACTGAATCCACACATGCACATCACACATAGACCTGACATTGGACGTACACATGGCAACCTCACATCGGCAGATACTTTCACACACTGAATTCACTTAGATGCATTCTCACACTGTATCCACAGCTTCCAACGCTTCATCCACGCCTTCACACTCTCATCTGGTGTGAGCTACATCCACACACACTCTCATCTGGTGTGAGCTACATCCACACACACACATACACATGTGAGTTGACATATACTATTAACTCAAACTGCTAGTGCCCCCACAGAAAAACCCACACCCTGTCTGACGTCTCCACACAACCACACACCCTGTCTGACGTCTCCACACAACCACACAGATGATCTGCTTTTGACATGTCCGTGCTATTGTCATCTGTTACATTAAAGTTGTTGCTGTTCCGCCAGGGACACTGGGCTGGGGTTTGTTGACTTTTGTTTCTCTGTTGGTTGGTTTATGTTATCTCGGATTGGGGCTTTTATCCTTTCTTTCCACCCCACAGCCTCACTAAAATTTTCCCCCAGAAAATGTTTTGTGAAATTTGCTGCTTTATTTAGTCCTCTGGTGTGCCCCAACTGTGCTCAGTGTCAGACCAGAGTGTCAGGTGACTCCGCAGTGATTGAACCCCATCTGTGCTCAGTGTCAGAGACTGCCAGGTGACTCTGCAGTGATTGAACCATCTGTGCTCAGGGTCAGACCAGAGTGTCAGGTGACTCCGCAGTGATTGAACCATCTGTGCTCAGTGTCAGACCAGAGTGTCAGGTGACTCCGCAGTGATTGAACCATCTGTGCTCAGTGTCAGACCAGAGTGTCAGGTGACTCCGCAGTGATTGAACCAAGTGTGCTCAGGGTCAGAGACTGCCAGTTGACTCCGCAGTGATTGAACCAGCTGTGCTCAGGGTCAGAGACTGCCAGTTGACTCTGCAGTGATTGAACCAGCTATGCTCAGTGTCAGAGACTGCCAGGTGACTCTGCGTGATTGAATCAGCTGTGCCCAGGGTCAGAGACTGCCAGGTGACTCTGCGTGATTGAATCAGCTGTGCCCAGGGTCAGAGACTGCCAGTTGACTCTGCGTGATTGAATCAGCTGTGCCCAGGGTCAGAGACTGCCAGTTGACTCTGCGTGATTGAATCAGCTGTGCCCAGGGTCAGAGACTGCCAGTTGACTCTGCGTGATTGAATCAGCTGTGCTTAGTGTCAAGCTAGGGTGTCAGAGACTGTCAGGTGACTCCATAGTGATTGAACCAGCTGTGCCCAGGGTCAGAGACTGCCAGGTGACTCTGCGTGATTGAATCAGCTGTGCTTAGTGTCAAGCTAGGGTGTCAGAGACTGTCAGGTGACTCCGTAGTGATTGAACCAGCTGTGCCCAGGGTCAGAGACTGCCAGGTGACTCCGCAGTGATTGAACCAGCTATGCCCAGGGTCAGAGACTGCCAGGTGACTCTGCGTGATTGAATCAGCTGTGCTTAGTGTCAAGCTAGGGTGTCCGAGACTGTCAGGTGACTCCGTAGTGATTGAACCAGCTGTGCTCAGTGTTAGACTTAGTGTCAGGTGACTGTAGTGAATGAACCAGCTGGACATACTAGCATGCAATATAGATTCAAGCTGTGGTTCAGTCTATGAATTGTATCTGTCTGGGACATTGATAAGGCAGGCTGTTATGTGATAGATAGACCCTGCGTCAGGGCATTGATGGGGCAGGCTGTTATGTGATAGATAGACCCTGCGTCAGGACATTGAAAAGCTCACTGAAACAGCTTTTTGGTTTTCAGCATGAGCGGGTTTAACTAGATTAAGGAAATACAGGCAGCCGGCATTATGTTGTCCACATTAACCGTTAAGTGCAGATTGGTCTGCAACAATACGCAAGGGGTCCGTCAGATTGGTCTGCAACAATACGGAGCTAGTGGCATGCTGCGCAAGGGGTCCGTCACTTGTGATTGTTGACTTGCTCTGCTCTCAGAATTGATGATGTTTCTTTACAGGACCAGGTTGTTTTTTTTTACTTTCTAGAACTAATTTGTTTGATTGATTCTGTTTGTTGGGCAGGGTTTACAGGAAACTAGTTCTGAATTTTAACATTTGTATTTTTTTTTTTTTGTTTAAATTATTTGTTTCAACATCGTTGTTGACCTAGATATTTTGGCTGGTTTTTAAAAACAAATGTACTCTGCAGGGTTTGTGTGATCATGTGGTGTGTGAGAAATTATATGAAAATGTCACTGTTTTAAATGACGAGTTGTGTTTTTGGTGCACGTAGATTCTGTGTCAACTGTTTAAACATGACCTAATGATTCCTCCAGTGTGTGATGTGATTTTTTTGTATGATCAATAGTTCCTGCCATCTTTTTTCATGTCTGGATGTACGCTCGAAGAATTCTAAAGATAAATGCAGCATTTAACAAAATACATAGTTATCTAGCACATTTGATTACTGTAAGTGTTGCACATAACTGCATGGTCCTTAGCTTCATCAAGCCGAGGACAGAGGCAGGTGTCGCAACCCACTGATCACCTCACTGACGACATTAACCTCTGATGTCTTTGACCAACATTGTGGCACACCTGACCAACATAGGACCTGGCTGGTGACATTAACCTCAGATGTCTTTGACCAACATTGTGGCACACCTGACCAACATAGGACCTGGCTGATGACATCATTAACCTCTGATGTCTTTGACCAACATTGTGGCACACCTGACCAACATAGGACCTGGCTGATGACATCATTAACCTTTGATGTCTTTGACCAACATTGTGGCACACCTGACCAACATAGGACCTGGCTGATGACATCATTAACCTCTGATGTCTTTGACCAACATTGTGGCACAGCTGACCAACATAGGACCTGGCTGATGACATCATTAACCTCTGATGTCTTTGACCAACATTGTGGCACAGCTGACCAACATAGGACCTGGCTGATGACATCATTAACCTCTGATATCTTTGACCAACATTGTGGCACACCTGACCAACACAGGACCTGGCTGATGACATTAACCTCTGATGTCTTTGACCAACATTGTGGCACACCTGACCAACATAGGACCTGGCTGATGACATCATTAACCTCTGATGTCTTTGACCAACATTGTGGCACAGCTGACCAACACAGGACCTGGCTGATGACATTAACCTCTGAAATCTTTGACCAACATTGTGGCACAGCTGACCAACATAAGACCTGGCTGATGACATCATTAACCTCAGATGTCTTTGACCAACATTGTGGCACACCTGACCAACACAGGACCTGGCTGATGACATTAACCTCTGAAATCTTTGACCAACATTGTGGCACAGCTGACCAACATAGGACCTGGCTGGTGACATCATTAACCTCTGATATCTTTGACCAACATTGTGGCACACCTGACCAACATAGGACCTGGCTGATGACATCATTAACCTCAGATGTCTTTGACCAACATAGGACCTGGCTGATGACATTAACCTCAGATGTCTTTGACCAACATTGTGGCACACCTGACCAACACAGGACCTGGCTGATGACATCATTACGGGTGCCCTTAATTACCTGTGCAGGTTGAATGGGGTATTTGGCATCAGCTTTGTTGGTCTGCCGTCCACATTATTTTATAATATCAGGATGGTGTGATAAACCTTGTAAGTAGCAGCTAGGAGGGAACAGACTGATTGTTCAATCTAATCATTGGTTTACGTCACATGCAGTTCTTGCTGTTGTCACTAACACCGTTTAGGCACAGTGGAGCATTGAGAATTTGTGGGTTTAGTTCTTGTTAAGACCAGTTTTTGCAATTGTGACACACGTTGTAGGCACAGTGTATCTATGGAGCTTTGAGAATTTTTGAAACTATCAGCACTGTCTGCCAGGTGTTCAAGGATGATTTCCTATCCCCAGCTGGTTGGGAATCTCAGTGTATTCAGTTCTTCACACTTAGATGGACTGAGCAGTGGAGTCAGGAAATCAATCCATGGTGAAACAACTTGTTTGCAAGAAAAACCTTTATGGTGAAACAGCTTGTTTGCAAGAAAAACCTTTATGGTGAAACAGCTTGTTTGCAAGAAAAACCTTTATGGTGAAACAACTTGTTTGCAAGAAAAACCTTTATGGTGAAACAACTTGTTTGCAAGAAAAACCTTTATGGTGAAACAACTTGTTTGCAAGAAAAACCTTTATGGTGAAACAACTTGTTTGCAAGAAAAACCTTTATGGTGAAACAACTTGTTTGCAAGAAAAACCTTTATGGTGAAACAACTTGTTTGCAAGAAAAACCTTTATGGTGAAACAACTTGTTTGCAAGAAAAACCTTTATGGTGAAACAACTTGTTTGCAAGAAAAACCTTTATGGTGAAACAACTTGTTTTGCAAGAAAAACCTTTATGGTGAAACAACTTGTTTGCAAGAAAAACCTTTATGGTGAAACAACTTGTTTGCAAGAAAAACCTTTATGGTGAAACAACTTGTTTGCAAGAAAAACCTTTATGGTGAAACAACTTGTTTGCAAGAAAAACCTTTATGGTGAAACAACTTGTTTGCAAGAAAAACCTTTATGGTGAAACAACTTGTTTGCAAGAAAAACCTTTATGGTGAAACAACTTGTTTGCAAGAAAAACCTTTATGGTGAAACAGCTTGTTTGCAAGAAAAACCTTTATGGTGAAACAGACTATTTGAGCTCTAACCCCACAGTGACATTAATAAAAATCAAAATTCATTTTATTAAAATATTGTATTAAGCTCAAAAACATGTTCAACATGGCACTCACAAAATTTGGCACAAACATCGTGTTGATTCAGCTCATGCATCAACACAAACATCGTGTTGCTGCAGCTCATGCGTCAACACAAACATCTTGTTGCTGCAGCTCATGCGTCAACACAAACATCTTGTTGCTGCAGCTCATGCGTCAACACAAACATCGTGCTGCTGCAGCTCCCACAAACATCGTGCTGCTGCAGCTCATGCGTCAGATGTTATTTAATGTCCATGAATTGAATGTCCATCACCAGTAAAATATTGCGGGGCAAAGGTCGTGGAGCAGGGGACAGAACTGTGAACACACTCTTGTCCATGTCAACACTGGTTCTGTTTAAGTATACAAAGCAAGATGTCAGGATCAAGCAGATAATACGTGTGTGAACGAAAAATTACACATGACGACAAAAGGGAAAAATGAAAGGCAAGCGAGACGGGGAGAGCCAGGAGAAAAAAAAAGGATGTAGAGAATAGTCACTTTAGAAATGAAATGATTACGTAGATAACAAGAAAAGATCAGACTTTGGAACGATGATATCACTGGGAGAGTGGTACAGTTTTGGTAGACAAAAGGTCAAATGGTTTGGTCATGTAATAAGATTAGCATCAGACACTGCACCACAGAGAACAGTGTTATACAGATAGAACAATAACAGACTGTGAAGAAGATGGACAACATAAATATTGGAGACACAGAAACGTATTGCAAGGTCTGACAAGTAATGAGACTAATTCCATAACAATTAAAACAAATAGTTGAATATAACCTGTATTTAAAGTAAGCTCCTTGTGCACACGAGGCATCATCTGTAGTTCTGTTAGGGCCTTTAAAGTGGATGTTACAGCCTTTTGGATATCATCAAGATCGTCAAAGAAGCATCCATTTAATAGTAACTTTAATTTGAATCTGTTCTGTCTTTGGCAATGAGTTCCTCGTTACAAACAGAAACTGGGCATCCAGGTCTAGTTGCATTAGTAATCACTTTTTAATTGTCAATACTAGAATCTGTGCACAATATAAACAATTATGCCCTCAACTTGTCACATCAGTTCAACTGTCTCAATGGCGCTTTTTCTGAGTTTTAAACATAATTTAATGTTAACTTTCTGCTTTATGCTAATTAAGTAACAATGCACTTCTGGCTAGATCAACTAAATGGCGGCCTGTTTGTTGTCTGCTTATCGGGCGGCGATGAAAAGTAGCCAGATCATAGATGAAGGCTGCCTCTTTGCTTCATAGATGGCATTTTTGTCTTGACCATAACAAAAATCAGATTACTGAATTGTGGGACCATGTACATACAAAGTGAACACAAGGGCCCTTTCCAGAGATCTCTTCTAGCCCTGATGCTGCCAGGCAGCAAACACCAGCGACTGATGCAGCAGCCAGGCTAATAGGCTAGGCACATGATGATGATATTATACTGTACATATACAATGAACCAGCCACTTACACAACCAGAAATCCCAACACATTTGTCTCAACAATATCCTGGTCTACTGTTGTGGCTGCACTAATACTGAGGACATGGTGAAGCAGGCTGTTACCTGTAGAGGATGAGACACACACCAGTTGTTATTTACAATATCAGGCTATTTAAACACTATCTCAACACAAGACTATACACACACCAGTTATTTACAATATCAGGCTATTTAAACACTATCTCAACACAAGACTATACACACACCAGTTGTTATTTACAATATCAGGCTATTTAAACACTATCTCAACACAAGACTATACACACACCAGTTGTTATTTACAATATCAGGCTATCTCAACACAAGACTATACACACACCAGTTGTTATTTACGATATCAGGCTATCTCAGCACAAGACTATACACACACCAGTTATTTACAATATCAGGCTATTTAAACACTATGTCAACACAAGACTATACACACACCAGTTGTTATTTACGATATCAGGGTATTTTAACACTGTCAACACAAGACTATACACACACCAGTTGTTATTTACAATATCAATATCAGGCTATTTAAACATTATCCCAACACAAGACTATACACAAAGACATATGTTGTATGCTGAATGTGGGTGGTAGCAAACTAACACACAGTCAAGTGTCTAGGTTAGGATTTGTGCTCAAACTCTGCCATACTTGCACAGTCAAGTGTCTAGGTTAGGATTTGTGCTCAAACTCTGCCATACTTGCACAGTCAAGTGTCTAGGTTAGGATTTGTGCTCAAACTCTGCCATACTTGCACAGTCAAGTGTCTAGGTTAGGATTTGTGCTCAAACTCTGCCATACTTGCACAGTCAAGTGTCTAGGTTAGGATTTGTGCTCAAACTCTGCCATACTTGCACAGTCAAGTGTCTAGGTTAGGATTTGTGCTCAAACTCTGCCATACTTGCACAGTCAAGTGTCTAGGTTAGGATTTGTGCTCAAACTCTGCCATACTTGCACAGTCAAGTGTCTAGGTTAGAATTTGTGCTCAAACTCTGCCGTTCTCGCACAGTCAGGTGTCTAGGTTAGGATTTGTGCTCAAACTCTGCCGTACTTGCACAGTCAAGTGTCTAGGTTAGGATTTGTGCTCAAACTCTGCCGTTCTCGCACAGTCAGGAAAACTCAACAACGGTTGTCCGTCATATTCACAAGAAAGTTCGGGTCTATTAACCCATACACAATGAACAGGGATTAACTCTTTGAGTCCCAGAGGGTCTAGCAACACAGGCCCAAGGGGTAGTTAAAAGAGACGTAAAATCGGCGCATCATGCGTTCATTGGTACTCAAAGAGTTAAGCAATATCACGGATGTGATATCATAGGCTGGCTAACATGGAGTTAACCTCATCAGTGTTCACATTCTCCAACACAGTCCTGGCTAATATGGAGTTAACCTCATCAAGCTTCATATTCTCCAACACACTCCTGGCTAACATGGAGTTAACCTCATCATGCTTCACATTCTTCAACACAGTCCTGGCTAACATGGAGTTAACCTCATCAAGCTTCACATTCTCCAACACAGTCCTGGCTAACATGGAGTTAACCTCATCATGCTTCACATTCTCCAACACAGTCCTGGCTAACATGGAGTTAACCTCATCAAGCTTCACATTCTCCAACACAGTCCTGGCTAACATGGAGTTAACCTCATCAAGCTTCACATTCTCCAACACAGTCCTGGCTAACATGGAGTTAACCTTATCAAGCTTCACATTCTTTAACACAGTCCTGGCTAATATGGAGTTAACCTCATCAAGCTTCACATTCTTTAACACAGTCCTGGCGGCGCTCCATAGTACAGCATACACTTGCTGTCAACACAGTCCTGGCGGCGCTCCATAGTACAGCCTACACTTGCTGTCAGACTCTCCAGCTCAGTGCCTAAGTCGCTGGCTAACCCCCACGTTGGAGCTAGCAGTAGGAATGAACAGGCTCCATCTAACCTACTCAACTTGACCTCCGTTGCTACCCTCAGTAACAGGCACTTCTACATCAGCTGACTGGGAACCTCTACAATACTTCAGTTCCCCAAGATGCTCACAGCAAGTCAGCCATGTCAAGGAATTCTACGATGACTGGCACGGCTCTCAACTCTTTGAGTCCCATCAGCACACAGCCGCTAGCCCACATCTACCAAATGTCACTCCTCGTAATAAGAATCGCTGTCTTGTTTCAGTAGTGAACATGAGGGCCACAGGCTTCATCACCCAAGACAAGCTTTCCTACAGAGAAACACACAGCTAGACAAGCTTTCCTACAGAGGAACACACAGCTAGACAAGCTCCCCCACAGAGGAACACAGCTAGACAAGCTTTCCTACAGAGGAACACACAGCTAGACAAGCTTTCCTACAGAGGAACACACAGCTAGACAAGCTTTCATACAGAGGAACACACAGCTAGACAAGCTTTCCTACAGAGGAACACACAGCTAGACAAGCTTTCCTACAGAGGAACACACAGCTAGACAAGCTTTCCTACAGAGGAACACACAGCTAGATAAGCTTTCCTACAGAGGAACACACAGCTAGATAAGCTCCCCTACAGAGGAACACACAGCTAGACAAGCTCCCCTACAGAGGAACACACAGCTAGATAAGCTCCCCCGCAGAGGAACACACAGCTAGACAAGCTCAGGGGTTGGCGGGGTGAAAGGGTGAACCTAACTTGTGGCCGGCTTGTCTCTATGAACTGACAAACACAACAAACAAACAACACTAACTACAGACTCACTAGGGACCAGTGGCACCAGTTTGGTCTGACTGTCCTGGGATTTCATCCCCAATGGCAGGCAGGATTCTGGCAGTGATGGAGCTGTTAAAAGCACCAAAGAAAACAATGTAACAAGCAGTTCATATGATTAATAATACACTGATACACTGTCGATGATGGTTCTACAAATATGGATTGGAATAACTTCTTTCCCTTCTGCAGACGTGGCCTGGAGAAGACAATGGCAATCAGCACGAATCCTGCTTGCAGCCTCTGCGACTGATGTGCCTCAAACATGGCCTCTGTCTTGTCCGGGTGGCATCTGTCTTGTCCGGGTGGCATCTGTCTGTCTTGTCCGGGTGGCATCTGTCTTGTCTGGGTGGCATCTGTCTGTCTTGTCCAGGTGGCATCTGTCTGTCTTGTCCGGGTGGCATCTGTCTGTCTTGTCCGGGTGGCATCTGTCTGTCTTGTCGGGGTGGCATCTGTCTGTCTTGTCGGGGTGGCATCTGTCTGTCTTGTCGGGGTGGCATCTGTCTGTCTTGTCCGGGTGGCATCTGTCTGTCTTGTTCGGGTGGCATCTGTCTGTCTTGTCCGGGTGGCATATGTCTGTCTTGTCCGGGTGGCATCTGTCTGTCTTGTCCGAGTGGCATCTGTCTTGTCCGGGTGGCATCTGTCTTGTCCAGGTGGCATCTGTCTTGTCCAGGTGGCATCTGTCTTGTCCAGGTGGCATCTGTCTTGTCCAGGTGGCATCTGTCTTGTCCGGGTGGCATCTGTCTTGTCCGGGTGGCATCTGTATTGTCCGGGTGGCATCTGTCTGTCTTGTCTGGGTGGCATCTGTCTGTCTTGTCTGGGTGGCATCTGTCTGTCTTGCCCGGGTGGCATCTGTCTTGTCCGGGTTGCTTTGATGAAAGATCTTGGCTTATCCCCAGGTACCATCATCAGCTAGTCTTGTCAAATACTGGCCCTCTCTTCACAGTTTGTTGACAACATGGTGACTGTTTCCAAGTCTAGCTATTTCCCACTCTCTTGTGCAGGACCAAACCTGGCCCACAGATAACTACCAGTTGTACTGAATGATTCTCTCTATGCTGGGGCTCCGCCCTCTGGCCCCTGACGATCCCTATTTTCAAAATTATGGTTCCTGGGTAAACTGTTGAATATCCCTGCCCTAGTAAGCCCCCAGTTGCCTACTTCTAAGATTGTCGTGGATAGCTGTGGATTTAACTGTCTTACTATTACATTGACTTCAAGTGGTCCCCAAACATTGACCTGAAAATTAACAATACTCAAGAGATGTGTTCTTGTCCAGGCTACATACAGTACACACTAACAGCAGAGAAGCTTACCTCCGACTTTGAAGATTTTCACATCATTAAACCTGACATCAAAGCTGTGTGGGAAGAAGTTGTTCTTCAACCCATAGAAATATTCTCGGATTCTGTTGTCTCTGGATTCTGCCCTGGTGGCTTGGGATCTTTCCACAACCTGAGAAGCCAGATATGAAGATTCTAATTAATGAAAGACCTTCAAGAAAGTTTGCCAGTGACACGAGTTCAGGAATTGTGCCTGGAACAGAGTTGATGCACTGTGCTCACATGAGAGTTCAGGAATCGTGCCTGGAACAGAGTTGATGCACTGTGCTCACATGAGAGTTCAGGAATCGTGTCTGGAACAGAGTTGATGCACTGTGCTCACATGAGAGTTCAGGAATTGTGCCTGGAACAGAGTTGATGCACTGGGCTCACATGAGAGTTCAGGAATCGTGCCTGGAACAGAGTTGATGCACTGTGCTCACATGAGAGTTTAGGAATCGTGCCTGGAACAGAGTTGATGCACTGTGCTCACAATGGGAGATTAGAACAATTCTGGAGCCAGATGTAATTAGTGTTGCTTCACACGCCAAACCACTGAGAGAGAATCTGTCACCTCTAAGGGGTGGAGCTTAGGCTGCCTACATCCTGTCTGTCACCTCTGGATGGAGCTTAGGCTGCCTACATCCTGTCTGTCACCTCTGGATGGAGCTTAGGCTGTCCATGTCCTTCTGTCTGTCATCTCTGGATGGAGCTTAGGCTGTCCATGTCCTTCTGTCTGTCATCTCTGGGTGGAGCTTAGGCTGTCCATGTCCTTCTGTCTGTCATCTCTGGGTGGAGCTTAGGCTTAGGCTGTCCATGTCCTTCTGTCACCTCTGGGTGGAGCTTAGGCTTAGGCTGTCCATGTCCTTCTGTCTGTCACCTCTCAATGGAGCTTAGGCTGTCCATGTCCTTCTGTCTGTCACCTCTGGATGGATCTTAGGCTGTCCATGTCCTTCTGTCTGTCATCTCTGGGTGGAGCTTAGGCTGTCCATGTCCTTCTGTCTGTCATCTCTGGGTGGAGCTTAGGCTGTCCATGTCCTTCTGTCTGTCATCTCTGGGTGGAGCTTAGGCTGTCCATGTCCTTCTGTCTGTCACCTCTCAATGGAGCTTAGGCTGTCCATGTCCTTCTGTCTGTCACCTCTGGATGGAGCTTAGGCTGTCCATGTCCTTCTGTCTGTCATCTCTGGGTGGAGCTTAGGCTGTCCATGTCCTTCTGTCTGTTACCTCTCAATGGAGCTTAGGCTGTCCATGTCCTTCTGTCTGTCACCTCTCAATGGAGCTTAGGCTGTCCATGTCCTTCTGTCTGTCACCTCTCAATGGAGCTTAGGCTGTCCATGTCCTTCTGTCTGTCACCTCTGGATGGATCTTAGGCTGTCCATGTCCTTCTGTCTGTCATCTCTGGGTGGAGCTTAGGCTGTCCATGTCCTTCTGTCTGTCATCTCTGGGTGGAGCTTAGGCTGTCCATGTCCTTCTGTCTGTCATCTCTGGGTGGAGCTTAGGCTGTCCATGTCCTTCTGTCTGTCATCTCTGGGTGGAGCTTAGGCTGTCCATGTCCTTCTGTCTGTCACCTCTCAATGGAGCTTAGGCTGTCCATGTCCTTCTGTCTGTCACCTCTGGATGGAGCTTAGGCTGTCCATGTCCTTCTGTCTGTCATCTCTGGGTGGAGCTTAGGCTGTCCATGTCCTTCTGTCTGTCACCTCTCAATGGAGCTTAGGCTGTCCATGTCCTTCTGTCTGTCACCTCTCAATGGAGCTTAGGCTGTCCATGTCCTTCTGTCTGTCACCTCTGGATGGAGCTTAGGCTGTCCATGTCCTTCTGTCTGTCATCTCTGGGTGGAGCTTAGGCTGTCCATGTCCTTCTGTCTGTCATCTCTGGGTGGAGCTTAGGCTTAGGCTGTCCATGTCCTTCTGTCTGTCATCTCTGGGTGGATCTTAGGCTGTCCATGTCCTTCTGTCTGTCACCTCTCATGGAGCTTAGGCTGTCCATGTCCTTCTGTCTGTCACCTCTCAATGGAGCTTAGGCTGTCCATGTCCTTCTGTCTGTCATCTCTGGGTGGAGCTTAGGCTGTCCATGTCCTTCTGTCTGTCACCTCTCAATGGAGCTTAGGCTGTCCATGTCCTTCTGTCTGTCAAGGTGGAGCTTAGGCTGTCCATGTCCTTCTGTCTGTCACCTCTGGGTGGAGCTTAGGCTGTCCATGTCCTTCAGTCACCTCTGGGTGGAGCTTAGGCTGTCCATGTCCTTCTGTCTGTCACCTCTGGGTGGATCTTAGGCTGTCCATGTCCTTCTGTCTGTCACCTCTGGGTGGAGCTTAGGCTTAGGCTGTCATGTCCTTCTGATCACTCTGGGTGGATCTTAGGCTGTCCATGTCCTTCTGTCTGTCATCTCTGGGTGGATCTTAGGCTGTCCATGTCCTTCTGTCTGTCATCTCTGGGTGGAGCTTAGGCTTAGGCTGTCCATGTCCTTCTGTCTGTCATCTCTGGGTGGATCTTAGGCTGTCCATGTCCTTCTGTCTGTCATCTCTGGGTGGAGCTTAGGCTGTCCATGTCCTTCTGTCTGTCATCTCTGGGTGGAGCTTAGGCTGTCCACGTCCTTCTGTCTGTCACCTCTGGGTGGATCTTAGGCTGTCCATGTCCTTCTGTCTGTCACCTCTGGGTGGATCTTAGGCTGTCCATGTCCTTCTGTCTGTCACCTCTGGGTGGATCTTAGGCTGTCCATGTCCTTCTGTCTGTCATCTCTGGGTGGATCTTAGGCTGTCCATGTCCTTCTTTCTGTCACTCAGCTTAGGCTGTCCATGTCCTTCTGTCTGTCATCTCTGGGTGGAGCTTAGGCTGTCCATGTCCTTCTGTCTGTCATCTCTGGGTGGAGCTTAGGCTGTCCATGTCCTTCTGTCTGTCATCTCTGGATGGATCTTAGGCTGTCCATGTCCTTCTGTCTGTCACCTCTGGGTGGATCTTAGGCTGTCCATGTCCTTCTGTCTGTCATCTCTGGGTGGATCTTAGGCTGTCCATGTCCTTCTTTCTGTCACCTCTCAATGGAGCTTAGGCTGTCCATGTCCTTCTGTCTGTCATCTCTGGGTGGAGCTTAGGCTGTCCATGTCCTTCTGTCTGTCACCTCTGGGTGGATCTTAGGCTGTCCATGTCCTTCTGTCTCTCACCTCTGGGTGGATCTTAGGCTGTCCATGTCCTTCTGTCTCTCACCTCTGGGTGGATCTTAGGCTGTCCATGTCCTTCTGTCTGTCACCTCTCAATGGAGCTTAGGCTGTCCATGTCCTTCTGTCTGTCACCTCTCAATGGAGCTTAGGCTGTCCATGTCCTTCTGTCTGTCACCTCTGGGTGGAGCTTAGGCTGTCCATGTCCTTCTGTCTGTCACCTCTCAATGGAGCTTAGGCTGTCCACCTTCTTCTGCCTCTTATCTCTGGATGAACAATTGAATAAAAGGAAATATCTAAACATACTTCTGCGACAATGAAGGTTTCAGAACAGGACATGCAGAAGTTCAAGCCATCAAGAAAGCGGCAGAGAAACTTCTAAATACAGGGTATTTTTCACAACCAGTGGTATTCCTGACAGATGCAAAAGCAGTACTTCAGTCACTCCAGTCTGGAAAATTACCAAGCATACGGACACTATTATCCGAACTAGGCACCCGCTGTAAATTAGTAATGCAGTTGATACCTTCCCACTGTGGAGTTCCCGGAAACGAAAAAGCTGATAAACTAGCTAAGGAAGGTGCAACTGAAGAACAACCTAACATACCAGTCTCTTATCAACAGAAGAAAAGAATGATCAAATCAATCAGAATGCCACCGAAACTGGCACAAGATGATTACCATATTATGGACAGACCAGAGCAAGTCATTATCCTTCGCCTTAGAACAGGGCACAATCGACTTCACTCCCACATGTACAACAAATTTAAGATTGGCCAATCAGCCATGTGTACTTGTGGACTGGCACCTGAAACAACAGATCACATTCTTCAAGACTGTCCCAGATTCAACGCTTTCAGGCAAAACCTTTGGCCAAAAGAGACACTTGTGGAAGTCAAACTTTACGGGCCACTTAGTGAATTACAAAAGACAGTGAAATTCATACTAGAGACAGCTTTGCAGATATAGACAATTTATTTCATGCGAACGAAAGAAGAAGAAGAAGAAGAAGAACAGGACAAATGTGTGAAAAATCAGATAGTTTAGTCTGATGCGTATGAGTGCTGTAGATTGTTTAGTCTGATGCGTATGAGTGCTGTTGATTGTTTAGTCTGATGGGCATGAGTGCTGTAGATTGTTTAGTCTGATGTCCATGAGTGCTGTAGATTGTTTAGTCTGATGTCCATGAGTGCTGTAGATTGTTTAGTCTGATGTGCATGAGTACTGTAGATTGTTTAGTCTGATGTGCATGAGTGCTGTAGATTGTTTAGTCTGATGTGCATGAGTGCTGTAGATTGTTTAGTCTGATGGGCATGAGTGCTGTAGATTGTTTAGTCTGATGTGCATGAGTGCTGTAGATTGTTTAGTCTGATGTGCATGAGTGCTGTAGATTGTTTAGTCTGATGTCCATGAGTGCTGTAGATTGGTTAGACTGATGGGTATGAGTGCTGTAGATTGTTTAGTCTGATGTGCATGAGTGCTGTAGATTGTTTAGTCTGATGTGCATGAGTGCTGTAGATTGTTTAGTCTGATGGGCATGAGTGCTGTAGATTGTTTAGTCTGATGTGCATGAGTGCTGTAGATTGTTTAGTCTGATGTGCATGAGTGCTGTAGATTGTTTAGTCTGATGTCCATGAGTGCTGTAGATTGGTTAGTCTGATGTGCATGAGTGCTGTAGATTGATTAGTCTGATGTGCATGAGTGCTGTAGATTGTTTAGTCTGATGTGCATGAGTGCTGTAGATTGTTTAGTCTGATGCGCATGAGTGCTGTAGATTGTTTAGTCTGATGCGCATGAGTGCTGTAGATTGGTTAGACTGATGGGTATGAGTGCTGTAGATTGTTTAGTCTGATGTGCATGAGTGCTGTAAACTGCATCTATCAGAGATACACTGTGTTGTGGAAGTTACAGTCAGTATTAGAGATACATTGTGTTGTGGAAGTTACAGTCAGTATCAGAAATACACTGTGGAAGTTACAGTCAGTATCAGAAATACACTGTGGAAGTTACAGTCAGTATCAGAGATACACTGTGGAAGTTACAGTCAGTATCAGAGATACACTGTGGTGTGGAAGTTACAGTCAGTATCAAAGATACACTGTGGTGTGGAAGTTACAGTCAGTATCAAAGATACACTGTGGTGTGGAAGTTACAGTCAGTATCAAAGATACACTGTGTTGCGGAAGTTAGTCAGTATAAGAGATACACTGCGTTGCGGAAGTTAGTCAGTATAAGAGATATACTGTGTTGCGGAAGCTAGTCAGTATCAGAGAAACACTATGTTGCGGAAGCTACAGTCAGTATCAGAGAAACACTGTGGTGTGGAAGCTATAGTCAGTATCAGAGAAACACTGTGGTGTGGAAGCTATATTCAGTATCAGAGAAACACTGTGTTGCGGAAGCTAGTCATTATCAGAGAAACACTATGTTGCGGAAGCTATAGTCAGTATCAGAGAAACATTGTGGTGTGGAAGCTAGTCAGTATCAGAGAAACACTGTGGTGTGGAAGTTACTGCCATCACATTATCTGGAAATATTACAACGGAAAAGAAATGAAAGCTTTGCTTACCCCTCCAGACTTGGGTAGCAACACAATCTTCACAAAATCTGGCAGATCACCCTTGAGCTGGTTGTAAAGTCGCTCCTGATCCAAGACGCAAATTACATCCACTGTACAAAGACATGATAGATAAACAATTCATACAGATGATTCAACAGCAAGGGGTCAGATGGTTTGGGAATGTGCTATGAGAATCCTCTGTTGTCAACTGTCACATAGAGCCACACTAAAATGTCTTCCTCGTGGCGTTTGTTTTTCTATGCCCACTGAAGAACGATCTGACTGTTTTCTGAGAAATTATTCAGCCTGGAGGCTTTTTCCAGGCTGTCTCATGAATCCCTTGGAGTCATCTGAACGACTGATATGCAGTCACCCAGGACAACAATCTTGTTTTTTATTTTTCTTTCTTCATGCAGTTTTTTTGCATCAATAATTGCTTGCTGCTTTGCTCTTAACCCCCTGGACACGATGCGGCTGCAGAAATATTGGCCTGACACAAAGCAGCCAAAAGGATGATTGGGCCAATCGGTCAGCCCTATGTAATACAAGCCTTGAGACTGGCTAGCAGGTTTTCGTACCAGCTAATCAGATTGCTTTTCACGTGTTCAGTAATTTTATATCACATTTTTTCTCGGGTTACCTGTGCCCAACAAAGACGAAAAGGATTGTTGCGGCTTGGCAACCAAAACATAGCTCGAGGCAGGTAAATGAGTACAAAACATAGCTGGAGGCAGGTAAATGAGTACAAAACATAGCTCGAGGCAGGTAAATGAGTAGAACCATGTGCAAGACATGTCTCCAAGGGCCTTAATTCCCAAAACACAAGTGTTAGGTCTCATTCAAGCTTCATCCATCAAAACACAAGTGTTAGGTCTCATTCAAGCTTCATCCATCAAAACAAGTGTTAGGTCTCATTCAAGCTTCATCCATCAAAACACAAGTGTTAGGTCTCATTCAAGCTTCATCCATCAAAACATTACCTCCACATTTTTTTTTAGGTTAGTCATGTTTGTTCCCGTGTTAAAAATAAAAATGAATGCATAAATTATGCAAATCTGAATAGTTAATTTGAATAAATGTTGAGATTTCAGTTTGATTCACAAATATTCTGTTAGCTCATTCAATTGTCTACACAAATATATAGTTTTCTATGTTAATTAAATCCTTTTTTTTTTTGTATATAAACTGTGAGAATCCCCTCCTGAAGGCTTCAAAAAGCTTCTGTCTCCAGAGAGTTAAGTTTGTTGAGTTTCCCAGAGGCACATGAATGTGTCAGTGTGACCCCATCTTGTAGCATGATGACCGAACCAACCTGCTCTGCCTTGTGCTGCTCCATCCAGGGATCCATCAGTGTACATGCAAACCCATTCGGGTTTTGGGTAATAGTTTATGAACACGTTCAAAACCTTACTTAATAAAACCAAAATGCATCACTGGCTCAACCAGTCAGTGGTCCAAGTTTGAATCCCCAACAGTCATGGGATGTGTGTTTGGGTCCCACACCTCTGAAGCTGACTTCACTACATAAAAGAATCAATGAATAATTAATTAAAATGTTGAAGAAATTGCAACAGAAGAAAAGCCAGCATCTCACGTAGCAAGCCGAGACGCCAGCATCTCACGTAGCAAGCCGAGACCTGACATTCACACGCCTGCAGCAGCACCTGAGACCAGCAGTAGCTGTCTGACACTAGAACATACCCTCGAAGGCCCCCGCTGCTTGTTTCAATGCCTCGTAGCCAGCTCCTCGGATCCAGCCAGCCGTGTTGATGATCACCCCACTGCAGTTCACTGCAGACAAACACAGTCAGTATGTACACACACAATTAATCAAAAAAATGATACTCATGTAATCATGGCTAAAACCAAAATGACATATGTGAAGCAAAGTGAGTCATGCAAAGGGGTAGTGATCATCCATGATTTGGTTAAACTGAAGCATCACCATTGCAAGTCACAGAAACCTCTAGTCACGTATTCATAAAGTCACGCCAACCTGTAGTCAGTTATTTATAAAGTCACAGCAACCTCTAGTCAGGTATTCATATAGTCACGCCAACCTCTAGTCAGATATTCATTAAGTCATGCCAACCTCTAGTCAGATATTCATTAAGTCACGCAAACTCTGGCCAGAAATTAATAGTCATGCAAACCTGTAGTCAGGTATTCATAAAGTCACAGAAACCTGTAGTTAGGTATTCATAAAGTCACAGAAACCTCTAGTCAGATATTCGTAAAGTCATAACAACCTCTAGTCAAATATTCACATAGTCACAGAAACCTGTAGTCAGATATTCATAAAGTCACAGAAACCTGTAGTTAGGTATTCATAAAGTCACTGAAACCTGTAGTTAGGTATTCATAAAGTCACAGAAACCTCTAGTCAGATATTCCTAAAGTCATACCAACCTCTAGTCAAATATTCACATAGTCACAGAAACCTGTAGTCAGGTATTCATAAAGTCACAGAAACCTGTAGTCTGGTATTCATATACTCACAGAAACCTGTAGTCAGGTATTCATAAAGTCAAAGAAACCTGTAGTAAGATATTTATAAAGTCACAGTAACCTGTAGTCAGGTATTCATAAAGTCACATAAACCTGTAGTCAGGTATTCATATAGTCACATAAACCTGTAGTCAGATATTCATAAAGTCACAGAAACCTCTAGTCAGGTATTCATAAAGTCACAGAAACCTCTAGTCAGGTATTCATATAGTCACGGAACTCTCTAGTCAGGTATTCATAAAGTCACAGAAACCTCTAGTCAGGTTTTCATAGTCACAGAAACCTCTAGTCAGGTATTCATATAGTCACAGAATCCTCTAGTCAGGTATTCATAAAGTCATATGAACATAAAAACTACTTATAAAACAGAGATATGGGCCTGACCTTTCTTGCTCTGTTCACAGCGTACATTGATGATCTCCGCCAGGCGGGACACTAGCATGTTGTAGAGCTGGAAGTTATCGTTGGGACTTTTGTGGCCGTAATGAAACACCAGGGGTGCAGTCTGCTGGAATCCTTCTTCTACGTCTGCTGTCCTCTCCACTACAAGGGCACCTACAATTGTGAGGACCAGCAAAAGTCATGAACACGCACAAACTGGCACTTCCTGAAGCCAAATATGTGAAACTGTATGTGTTCTTTATTACTTACAGTATACTTGAGATGTTCAAACAGTGTTTGCAACATAGAAAAAAAGCAAATGTGTATGATGTCCCTGTAAAATCATTTATTTTACTCCTCCTCTTCCCTCGACTAAACTTCAGCACTGCTATTTATTGACAGGGAAGCAACAGTAAGTTCTGAAACTATTTACTTCAACTTCTTCTTTCGTTCGCATGAAATAAATTATCTATATTTGCAAAGCTGTCTCTAGTATGAATTTCACTGTCTTTTGTAATTCACTAAGCGGCCCGTAAAGTTTGACTTCCACAAGTGTCTCTTTTGGCCAAAGGTTTTGCCTGAAAGCGTTGAATCTGGGACAGTCTTGAAGGATGTGATCTGTTGTTTCAGGTGCCAGTCCACAAGTACACATGGCTGATTGGCCAATCTTAAATTTGTTGTAAATGTGGCAGCGAAGTCGATTGTGCCCTGTTCTAAGGCGAAGGATAATGACTTGCTCTGGTCTGTCCATAATATGGTAATCATCTTGTGCCAGTTTCGGTGGCATTCTGATTGATTTGATCATTCTCTTCTGTTGATAAGAGACTGGTATGTCAGGTTGTTCTTCAGTTGCACCTTCCTTAGCTAGTTTATCAGCTGTTTCGTTTCCAGGAACTCCACAGTGGGAAGGTATCAACTGCATTACTAGTTTACTGCGCTTTCTGCTGACCAATCTGTGTAAACACGGACCCAAAGGTTCTGCGGGTATTCATCATCAAGTAGACTGAGGGTGGCTGTTTTGCGATGCACACTGTTTTGTTCTTCCTTGTCAAATACCCCTTTCACTTCAGTCTTGATGTGTATTGGAAACTTATACTCCTCTCTCCAGGGGGTCCGTTCTGGGACAGCATTTAAGGATCTATCAGTTGCAGGTAAATCAGTGGTTTGTCTGCCGAGCCGTTTGGCCTGGTGGATAAAACTACTTCTATTTAGTCGTCCCAAAGCTAAATTTTGGAATCTTTCATTCATAGGGTGACTGGGAATGCTAAGAAACTTTTCTGCTTGTAAAAGCATCTTGGTGTCCTGCCTGCGTTCACTCAGTGTCTTATGCTTGGGTCTGGCGAAACACTTTGTGTAAAACTTTACTAAGCATTTTCACGCTACACCCCATGTGGTAACTCCGCAAGCCGGTCCCAAGACGGGCTGTAAAAGGGAGGCGGGTCTGGCCTGAACCGAGTTTCAGCGTCTCCAAGTAGGGGGAAAACCGTGAATCAGCCGCGGCCTGCAGGGGCCGCAAGGAGGCAGCCCCCCCACCTGCAAAGGCAAAAAAAGGCCAATCACCTGTTTGCCTTAAACCCCCATTACAAATAATACAGAGAAAAAACCGGCGGGGGTCTTAACGGCGGAACGGCAGGCTTACGGACTACGATTTTGGAACATGGAAATAAAGGCTTTTAAAGGGAAAAGGGAAAAGAGTTAGAGGGGAGAGAGGAAAGCAAAATTAGGTCTTGGCTCGACTGAAACCAAAAAAAGGGGCAGGAAACCCAAAACACGTGGAAGTATGCTGCCTTTTCATGGTGTCCCTATGACGGAGAGAGCCAAGGGGGGTGTTTGGGGTATTTGGCCAGAATCAAGTTTGAAAATCAAGGGGTGGGAAAACATTCAGGCGAAAATGGGTAGATCTGAAAAAAAGAAGATTTTAAAAATTTTTAATTTTGTCCTTGTGTACGGGCCAAAATGAAAAGAGCGAGTAGATGTTAAAAAAGATTCTTTTAACTGCCCCAAAGACCATAGAGACTGTCCAGAAATTATCCCCTAGGAGATCTAAATGCCAGAGTAGGGGAAAAGACACTTTAAAGGGGTGGAGTATCGGGAATATGGTGAAGATGTTTTGGATAAAGGCAAGCGATTCTCAGATTTTGCAGGGAACAGAACCCTTTTCATTACAAAACACAAATTTCCCCCCCAAGGTATAAGCATACACAAGATGTGAACCT